ATTATGGTAGAACTCGACATGGTCTGTAAAACTGTCATAAAGACCTGTGGGACTTTTCCGAATAGGAAATGTGAAAAATGTGTTTTTCTCAAAAGATACTTTTTTGACTGAATTTTTGCTATAGTATTGTAATTAGGGAAATTACTCCTAATAACGACAGATGCAGTTGGTTTTCGTAGACCGCTGATTTCTCCCCATTGTACAATGAAGAATGGCCGCGGTCATACCATTCAAAAGAGGAACATCCAAGGATTATGCAAATATAACAATACTTTCAATGGACTGTGAAAGGACCGTGTGCGGAGTCAAATAATATAAGCGACATTTTTCGTGTCGTTATTAAGGTAACTAGCTCTACCCATAAATATTAATGAAAGTAACATGATTTCGATATGCACATATCTCGGCATATAATAAGTATAGTGTATTCGAAATTTGTTCTATATCAGCATGTACTTTCATTCCTTCTAGTTGAATCATCAGCAATTCCAACAATCTGTTCAACGGCAACATGGTCTGAAAATGCAACAACAGTTGCAGGTGGAAACGGCGGCGGTGATGCATTAAATCAGCTCGATAATGCAGCTGATTTATTTTTGGATAGTCGTAACAACAATGTATACGTGGCAGATTATTCCAATAGTCGTATTGTAGAGTGGGCACCCGGTGCTTTGGCTGGCAAAATTGTGGCTGGTGGAAATGGCAACGGTTCAGCTTCAAATCAGTTGCATCATCCAACAGCTGTGTTTGTAGATGAAAATAATAATATTTATATTGCAGATGATGGAAATGATCGTGTACAAAAGTGGGCGAAGGGAGCTATGAGTGGTCAGACAGTAATAGGTCAACATGGTGTAGGTCCCGGTAACAACCAGTTTAACAAGTGTTGGGGTCTTTATGTTGATCAACATGGGAATATTTATCTATCGGATTATAATAATCATCGTGTGATGAAATGGGACGTCGGAGCAAGTACAGGCATTGTCGTTGCAGGCGGAGAAGTTATTCACAATTTGACGGTCAACGTTGTTCGACAATGAAGGTAAAAACTACGTATCCTTATAATAAGAAAGAATTGTGCCATAATTTCTGAATAACTGTAGGAATGGTAATGGTAGCAATTCTAATCAATTAAACTTTCCAGAGGGTATTTTTGTTGATGATAGTGGCGATATTTATATAGCAGATTCGTTTAATCATCGTATTCAAAAAGTGTCACCAAATTCATTGAATGGGGTGACAGTGGCTGGAGGAAATGGAAACGGACCCAACTTAAATCAGCTTGGTTTTCCAGGAGGAGTTGCTGTTGATAGAAACGGGTATATTTATGTGTCTGAATGGGACAATAATCGTGTGGTGAAATGGCATGCGGGTGCAACAACTGGAATGCTGGTAGCTAGCCACATACCTTATGCAAGAGGAGTGCAATTCGATAAAACTGGTAATTTATATGTAGTTGATAACGTTAATCATCGTGTTCAAAAGTTTAGTATTAATAATTATTGTTCTACCGCAGTAGCCAAAGTCTGGAATTACTCAGCTTTACTGATAATGTTGTGGTAAGTAAATTTGCCGGTTTAACAATTCTACACAGTCACTTTAGAGAAGTTTTCAACTATTAATTCCTTGACTCTATTTTTTTTAAACAGTAAATCTGGATCTATCGATTTAACAGTATGTGCATAAGTTGTCCAATAAATCTTTCTGCTAATAACGGGTAGGGCATAATGAATGGCCGCGTTTTGTATCTTACTTTTTCATCATCTAATACATTGTATTAAAAAACAAAATATATCAGGTAAATCCAGCGTGAAAAGCTCTACAATTTACATAAGATCGCTTATTTTATAGTTGCACTTTTTTGCTTTCACAATGGACAAAATTTTGTACGACCAAATTTTGAACGTTCGAAAAAGATAATTTTTTTTGATAGCCGATGAATTGATTCTTTTGTTATTTTATCTTTTCATTATTTGATAGGCTTTATTAAAAGAAAAACAAAATATACCAGAAGATGCAGCGTAAAAAGCTCTACAATCTACAGAGTAAAGCTTATTTTAATTGTATAATTTTTGTTGTCAAAAAAAAGCAAAATTATGTGTGATCAATTTTCGTCGCTTCGAAAAATGATCGTATAGACTATTACATTTTTTGAAAACAAAAATTATACAATTAAAATAAGCTTTACTTTGTAGATTGTAGAGCCTTTCACGCCGCATCTTCTGGTATATTTTGTTTTTTAATACAATGTATTAGATGATGAAAAAATAAGATACAAAACGCGGCCATTCATTATGCTCCACCCGTTATCTCCATACCTATTCATCGTATAGACTTAACTTTTTTGGTTAGAAAGAGCATGCTTTCTAGTCTAAAATCCACATTTCATAGATTTTTATATGCATACGTGTAACAAAATCTATTCAGTTTTCTAAACCTCCTAAGAAAACATCTGGTAATTTTGAGCAATTTCGGTTTCGTTTTTATTGACGAAAAATTGAATATCTCGACTTTGTTTCAACACTTTGATCTGAATTTTTCAGATCACCTATAAGCCTGTATGAACTTTCGATATATATATACAAATTATTGCTAAACATGCTTTTAATCATTAATTTCGGGCACAAAAAATCAACTTAACCATTTTTGGTGTATATTCACTAATTCTTTAAAAAATTTTTCTTTTAACGACAAGCAATTATTAAAAGAATACTACAATAGAGAGGGATTTTTACGGCGTACAAAAATATATGTACAACCTTGATAAAACTATTTCTTCCGAGTTAATACGATTCTTGAAATAGTAGGTCCTTTTGTCACACAAACTCTCCTGCTATGCGTCAACATAATTTTAAGAAATCAGATCTCCGAATATAAAAATCAGTTTGAGCTGAACTTTTTTTCCTCAGTAGTCTGCAAGCAAGTACACAAGTTCAGAGTAATTTTTGGGCTGTAAGCACATGTATTTGTTTAGGTATGCAATACTGCTTACTAATAAAAACTTTTACCACGTGTTTTTAGGAGGTTTAGAAAACTGAGTAGATTTTGTTACGCGTATGCATATAAAATTCTATGAAGTATGGGTTTTAAACTAGAAAGCATGCTCTTTCTAACCAAAAAATTAAGTCTGTACGATGAATAAGTGTGAAGATATTAGCAGAAAGATTTATTGCAAAACGTATACGCATACGGTTAAGCCTGTATCAGTAGTGCACTACTGTTGATGAGATGAACGATAATGAAAAACAGCATGAAAGTGTATTCTATCTTACTAGGGAAGATCCGCAGGTATTACGCGCCGTTTTGAATCGTGTATTGGCCATTTTGTAGAGCTCAGTGAGTGCACCATCTGGTATAGAGGATTCATCCCTATGCAGGAGTTTTAAGGAGCTATGAAGTATCATATCTTCTGAAAAATTATTATGAGGTTCTCAGTAGGAGATTTGGATTTCAAAAGTATTATCATTCCAAGTAATCTGGATTTTTCGATTGAATAAATCACAACCGATTATATATATTCGAATGTCACACTTAAATACAAAGTTTGAACATATCTTTACTTTGAATATTTTGAATATCATCAATATTGAAAGCATAGAATAATTAATTATTCTGTATAAAATTATTTTAAAGTTTATTTGAAAACTCTTCTTAAAATAAAACTAACAAAAAAAAATTGATTTTTGTATTGCAGTCTATGAGAGCCTACTTAATTGGTTTTTTTGCAAATTTTATTTGAAAAAAATACGGCAAAGAACGCTAGTGACAGTGATAAACAATAAAAAATGCTCGAAGCATAATGTTCCCGATAATGACTGCAGATAATAAATGCGCTGTCATTAAAACCTCCATTTGAGCAACCTGCAGCTTGAAACGAGAAACAGACGTCTATTACGTTAGTTCTATGCGAAAAAAAACGTTCTAGAAGAGTCTTTAAAATAATTTTAGACAAAATATTTGACTATTCTATAGCTACTTGCAATATTGGTGATATTCAAAATATTCAAAGTAAAGATATGCTTAAACTTTGTATTTAAGCGTCACATACGAATATATATAATCGGTTGTGATTTATTCAATCGAAAAATCCAGACTATTTGGAATGATAATACTTTTAAAAGCTCAGTCTCCTACTAAGAGTCTCATAATAATTTTTCGGAAGGTATGGTAGTTCGTAATTCCTTAAAAGTTCTGTATGGGGACGAACCCTTTATACCCGATTTTGTACTCACTGAGCTTTACAAAATGGCCAATACCAAATTCAAAAGACGCATAACACCTGGGAACCTTTCCTCATTAGTTAATTTTTAAAGCTTGTTAAACATTTTTCAAACCACTGGCTGACAGATATACCTCTTAGCTATTGTCAGAATTCCATCCAACTTATTTATTCTGCTATCAAATTACGCTTCAAATACCACTGAATAAATCTTTTTTGTTCTTCTAGTTCAGCTTTGATAGCAACAAAACGACAATATTAACTATATTTACATATTCAACATCAACTTTACTAAAAACATGTTTGTTATGATTTTCTTGCTATTTTTCACTTCAAAAGAGATTTTTCAATATAGAGTAATTTACTATTGTTTATTCAACATGAAATATATATCATACGGCTGTTCATTTTACTAGTACTACTACATAGAAAAATTTCAGCAAACAAAAACGGTGTGGGTGTGAGTATGAACGAACAGAAAACAAATACACACACCTACATGCACACTCCAAGATCGTTGAAATAGAATGACCTTTACCCACTCCAAATAGCAGATGATCTTCTTCAATGAACATGTCAATTGATGATAAAGATCAGCAGAACAAATCTTGTAATGAAAATCCAAATTGTGTTTAGATATTTATACGACGTTGCTACTTGACATTCAGATAAATTTTTTTATGAAGAATTTTTTTTCACTGTTAAATTCGTTAATTGATCAATAATATAATCAATCGATAAGAGATCTAAAAGTTTATAGTGATGACTTTTATTTGATAATATATTTAGAGCAAGTCCTTCAGGATTTGAAGAATCAAATGAACATATATTAACTAAAAAATAAATCATTATTTAAATCTAATTAATATAAATTATTTCTTTTTCAAATGATGAAAGATTTTTTTGTACTAAAAACAAAAACTTTAACCTGTTCATTCGATTATAAAGAAAGATTAACATTAGTTGTTGGTTTAATTCATAATACCTGACATTTTGTTTGATGTTTATTTTAATTATTGTCTTCAATACCACAAACAGCAGGAAGACAAGAGTTAGCAACAAATTGTACTACATCAGGCATATCATGTAGAAAACCATACTCTAAATAAACAGATTAATTAGTTAAATTAATAAAAAAAAAGAATGATTTACTTATGTTGAATAATTGAAATTTGTATGTGGAATATTTTCCAATTGACTATAATGCTGATAATTAGCATTTTATGAAGCCAAAGTTAAACCATTCGATGTCGATGTAAGAAAAAGACGAATACTTGATTTTATTTATTCGTATGACCACATTTCTTATCCTTATATTCGGTGATATTAAATGTTAATCGATCTTTCTAGCTCAGTAAGCACGCGTCATTATTTTCTTCTTTTCTTTATTTTCTACAACATGGCACATGAATTGTTTTTGTCTCTTTCTTTCTTCGTAGGAACAATTTCTTTTAATGAGATAAGATATCTCTTGGATGAAATTAAATTTCATAATACTGTAATTGAGATTAAGGAGGGTGAAATGTAATTAAAATAAGCAAGTATCTATACTAAAAATAGAAGTCATATCGATTTCACGAAAAATGTTTATCTTCGACTGGAATCGGACTATACGAGATAATTTCATGTATTTTTCAGATTAGAAAAATGGAATTATAAAGATATGTTATATTCATATTTCAACCAGTCAAATTTTTATAGTAGATATGTGATTAAAAACGATATTCTGATGCTGTATCATGGATGATTTGCATTACTAGAACATGTGTAAATTTATTAAAAACAGAAATTTAAGAGATGTGAATAATTGAAATCATCTAGAAAAACAGGGTAAAGCGTATAAGTATCAGATGCTGTAAGAGCGTCGAGTTCACAAATATTGTTTGTGTTGTTGTTCGTGTTCCTCTTCCAATTCCTAAATTATGTAGTGTTCATGTATCCATCAATTGAGTAACTTCATCAGTAGATGATTGACTACATTGCACTTTTTCAACTAAAAATTGTCGAAATTCAGCAAATGTTTTATGAATCAAATAACGACCGACTAAGTCCGTCATAGTCAATATATAATATGAACGCAGACGATCAAAATCAACATCATTTCCTTTTGATAATGGTAAATCACTGATCTAAATATAAAATTTACTTATTAAATATAAAGAAAATGATCCACATCACGATTGCTTAAATGACTAAAAGGAAACTTTTCAGATGTTATCAAATCAATTTGATTATCTTCTAATATTAAAGGAGAATTATTTGATAGATTTTGTTTCTGATTATTAGTTTTTGATGATGATATTAGATGTGCATTTTTATTCTCAGAAAGAATGAAAACAGATGAAGATGTTTCGATTTTTGACGATATTTTCTTAGAAGATTTTGGCATTTGATTCATAAGTGATAAAATATAATTGATTTGAGCATCGATTTTAGCTAAGAGTGACATTATATCGACAAAAGAAAAAGAACCATACAATTGTCATATTCGAATTACCGCTAAAATATTTCTATTCATTGATATAACATTAAAACAGTTTAGCAATTTGTTCTTTGTAAGCATGTATGAACTTCATTGGCATACGCACTAACAATAGCAATTAAATAAATATAATCTACAGCTACCACAATTCTTTAGAATAAGCGTTTTTACTTCATCTCTATTAAAGCTTCCACCTTACTATGAGATTAGAACTGTAAGAAGCATATTTACATCTCACAAAATTTCAATAAAATCATGGAAATCTTCTGTATACTGATGCATTTGCTAAAAATTCTGTCTTCTATTTTTTTAGATTAATGATACAAAGAAATGTGTAGTTAGTACATATCTCTCTCTAACAAAACATATACTGTATATTCAGATAGATATATTTTATTCGTCATCATTCTTCTCATCGATATTGTCTTCTAGGAAGTAAAGTAAGTTGATTTTAAATTCTACACAATATAATCAGTGTTAGATTTCATAGTCGAATTGTCATAATGTACATCCATATTGGTCTTCTATTAACAATTGTTATTGTCGTGATAAATGGGTCAATTCCATCAACAACAATTGAAATTGATTTAAATGAATTAACAAAATTACATAGATAATTTCTTGTTCGATCCCCATCTATACCTGCTTGCCAAGCTTATGAACTTCAATGTCGTGCTGTTACTGAATGTTGTCCAAATAAGCAAGAAAATCTTTATACTTTATTTATTGAAAGTCAATTTAATGAAAAATGTTTAGCTAATAGACCAAAATTAACAATATCATCTCTTTCATCCTTATGTATGTCAACATTTCATCAATTAATTCAACTAACAAGAGAACCAATTTATAAACAATATTTTGAAATGCTTGGAAATAATATTAAATAGTTTTCATCGAATTAAAATATGAAGAAAACAAATGAAAATGGTTTGTTCAAATGATGAACTTAATACTTATTATTGTGAACGAAATAATATTGAAAAATTAAAATCATGTCAAAGAAAAGTTTTAGAAATGGTTGCTAATGAAAATATTGATGATGATGGAACGATTTATAAAACATATGTGTCTCATAGGAACAAGAATATGCTATTGATAATCAATAACTTGCTCAAGCTTTTTCTAAATCTTAATTTATTTTCAATGAATTATTCTATAGACAATATGTTTGACAATGGACACTAAATAATGTATACATTAATCATAATATTGCTAAAGCATTATCTAAAACCTAATTTCGTTTTTTTTCTTTTCTTAGTAAATAATAATCCTTTAATATTGTAAAGTGTTTCTGTTACTGAAGTTTTTCAATTTCAACATAGATAATATGGACGTAATGATGGAAAGAATAGAAAAATCTTTTAGACATTTTGTTAATGATTAAATTAAAGAAACAAACAAAATTGTCAAGTTTATGTAATCTTTTTCATTTCGTTTTTAAATTTTTTTCTTCTGAATAAGATTGTTACTTTTTTTATCAAGATATTTTTGTGATAATATTTCCTTTATATAAATATCATGGTTTCATGTTCATAGTATTTTGCTATACCAGGAAAAGTATCTCGTATCGATTAAATAATGATTACTTTATGTCGAATACATGCAGAAAAAAATCTTTATAAGATTTCAATTAATTGATACGAGAAGAGACACAGGTAGGGTCCTGTGGGAACGAATTTTCTGTGTATTTTTCCGTCCCGTTTCTCACGGGAATCGAGAACGGGAACCATAAAAAAAATATCCATTCCTGAAAATCCGCTTATCCTATTTCTATATGCACTAAAGTGTGTTCGTGTGACAAACTTTTATTTTCAATAACTATTTTCGTATTTAATAAACAAAAAAAAAGCAAATACCTATCAACAAAATTATGGAAATGCATTCGTTTTTCATTACATCTTACATTATGATGACGATCAACTTGTTTATAATTATCATCGAAAGCACGATTATCAAGATTATCTACAACACATTAATATCATTTTCTTCTTTTGAAATTTTTACTTTTCTCATTGGTGTCATCGAAGTGCAACTATTTATTCTTTTTCTTGATTACTCAGTTGATGATGGAAGTAATTCTCTTGAAGTTGATAAATTTCAATTTCTAAATAATAGCTGATTTATTTCACTTCTATGCAAACGTGCATGATGACTTCTTGTTGTATCTCTACTTGTTTGAAAAAGGATGTTTTTATAATACTAATTGCCGAAATATACAGCACTCGTTGAGCTATTACAAACAGTATAGAGTTAACTATTTATTATTGTTTCAATATATAGAAACATGTACATCCTTTCCCGCTTGTATCTGATCTTCAACGTATCTTGTGAATTCAGTCTTTATTTCTTTTATCATCGTGTAACTTATCTAATGGTATTAGCACACATCCGCACCCTCAGTATATGAAACAAAACGTTGCAGATTGATAGTATCGACAATAGCTAAATTTAATTTCGATGTAGCTTACTATAACCTATGTCATATTCTCAAAAACGTAATACTGTTAGAAGCTAATATCAGACAACGGTAGTTTTTTGAAATGTCAAAAGATGAAATATCACTAGGGATTCTGAACACCTTACGGGAACGGAAAACGGGAACCCAAAAAAATTGCTCCCGTAGAACTCTAGATATAGGTGAGTTTTATTACGCAGATTTCATGTGTCAGTATAAAATTATCTTATTGAAACAATGATAATTATGAGTAACTACCATTTCTACTCCTTCGTTTTCTATAAAATGTTAATATTCATCTTCGAAATATTTTATGAATAAGAACAAAATCCAATGTCCTTATCAATCATTCTTAGTTTATTTTATTGATTAGACTTTATTCCAATTTCGAAATCTCATTGGTTTATTGACTACTTTTAAAGGCATACTTTCAACTTTTAAAAATTCTCGGCTGTTAACGATAACAATCGAAAAAGTTTTCATTATATGTTCAAGTGCAATCATTTAATGAATTATTGATTAACGTTCACTCGAGTTGATTAATCAGAATGAAGTGTTGTTTATTTGATCATATTCTATGAAAATTCTATAACAAATAAAAGCAATTGATCGTATGAAAATGGAGTGTCACTTGTATCAATACGGAATCTTTCCTAAATAAACTCACCCATATTTAGTAATACAGATATTTCCTTATAGACAATAACTGACAATCATATAATATATTACAAAAAAAATTTGCTTATTATTCAAACGTCATATTTGTAACTACTGTTTTTTTGTGTTCAAATTAAAATCTAAATAAATGTATCGAAATTGAATTTGAACAGATGTCACTATTGTATATTATATATTACCTAAGCGTTGAGATTTGTTTTCATGTTAACCAACAAGTTGAATGTAATGAATAATTATGTTTTGCTTGGGTTTGATCCCTTAATTAAAATAGCAAAATAGTTCTCTGTTTTGCTAGAAATAGTTTTATTTGATTCAACCTCATACTGAAATTTTGAAGACAAATTATTGAATTAACTCGTATTTAAACCTGATTGAATTGATTACAAATGAAGATTTTCTTCTTTCTTAGTTGAATGTAATTCAGATTAGAATTAGAATTATTTAATATGACTTCTCTTTATCTCATATTTCAATAATTCTACACCACATTCTATCGTATGAAATGATAATATTTAAGAACATCCTACAAAAATAAAATTAGATAGTTGATTGAGCAGATATTCGTTAATAATATTAATATACACTAATTCTGGCATTTCCTTCTCTTATTTCGATTTCAGCAATATTTCATTCAATTGATTCATAATTATTTGAAAATAAAAAGGACTTGACAAAATAGGATATAAGAAAAGATGATTTTAATATGAATCCGGATCGAGCCTAAAGTTTGACTTTTATGTGTTGTATTATTCTAATATAATATTTCTCGAAAATATAAATCTAGTATTATCATATCACATATTTATTTATATATAAATATGAAGATTAAATGCCTACTACACTGTCAGCAACATGCGTTGGACAAACCTAAAAATTACAAGTGTTATTCAAAATGTTGCGAGAACTTGTTCTGTCACCTATAGCTCTACCGATATTTATAGTGGTTCGAAACGTTCAGCAACAACGGCAGTTTCTTTCTCGAGATGGAGAATGTTGAAAAAAAAAGTCGGTTTTTAGCAGGTTTTTGTTAAATATAGTCTGTTCTCTAGGTTTCAAATATCTTAATAAGAAAGTATCCGTTTTGAGTGAGAATTTCAGATCGATATTCCTATCTTTCAGTTTTTTATAAGATCGAATATTCCTGCCAAAGAACATTATGTAACTCTGAATCGTTAGCAAGATGACTCTTTTTAGCTATAGTATGAATATACTGAGGGTCCATAATCTCAATTTTTGTGATTAATTTTCTCCTGTTGTAAGAAAAGGGCTCTTCGGTTTTTAAGAGTTAATACTGCTTTTGTATTGACACAATGGCTATCTACTTCTCATCAGTTTTCAAATAGAACTAACAGCACTGTCCGTTTGACCTAAAAAGATTATGAGATGTTTTCAATTTCAACGAGACTTTTATATTCAGCAATTTCTAATATCTATAACTTTTAATGAACAATGTATAATTATGTTTAGAAAAAACTCTAGCTTGATTTAAAATGATGCTCTCAGTTTTTCAAGATAGGAATTTTTAATAAAACACACTATAAACAAATAATCGTCGTTTTTCTCTATAGAAATCAGTTCATCTTCAAACATTCAATAGAATATATATTTTCAAGTCAATTCTAAACTTTGTTTCCAAAATTTATTGTATCATTTTGTAGACAACATTAAATTAGAAAAAAAAAAAGCATTTATGAAAATAAAGGAGATTGAATATCAGTCGATATAATGTTAACTTTGAATAATTTTCAAATTGAAAAAAAAATGGGGTGTTTGAGAAAATGAGTTCACATACAAATGAAATATGAACACTAATCGTTAAGTTGTTTATCAAGTAGAACTTTTATTTCTTCAAATTATATATGATTTAAAATGAAAGAAAATGTTTATTAACTAAATAACTACGATAATATTAATGATGAATAAACGTTACTAAATGATTCTATTCAGATTTAGCTGTGTTCAAATAGTATACATACTGATTTTCAACTTTGATATTTTTTTTTGATTACTCTATTTCTTTATTATGATTTACAATGCTATATCTTAATTAATTGGTAAAACTTTTATTTGTGTTGTCTTTGTAAAATTACTGAGATTTAACTTAACGTACAATTGATCGAATGAAATTTTCGAAAACTGAAGGTATGCACTAAATAATGATAATCTTATTGTTTTAATGACTGAAAATAGTCAATATCTTTTTATTTAATTTTCAGTGACAATAAAATAGTCTCATTTTAAAAAATGAAGAAAGATAAACTTCAATGTAAATCATCACAATTGAGACATATGACAAATTGACAAAATGTTTTGCCCTGCAACCCGCTATGTAATATAAATGACCTATTTATCATGACTAATGTCAATTTGAAAGCTGAAGAAAAGATAAAAAATATCACCCTTGATATTTTAAAACAACTATTAAAAAAAACGAATCATCATCTTTCTCTATAAATTACATTTGTCATATTATATTCGATTAATATTATTAATGAAAACTGTTGATAAATCAAATGATCCTTTAATTTCAAATAGTTTTGTAACATGTTATTCGGATTATCTTGTTATACATTTATATTATTTTCCATTTGGTAATAAAAAAATAAAATATAGTGATATTCGATCATGTGAATTTTATTCAACAGATGATCTTGGCATGTTCTCATATAAATTATGGGGAATGTCACTTACACCTGTTTGGTGGCATTGTGATATGAAACGTTTTATGCGAAAAAATTACATTTTATTAGATACAAATCATTGGCCTCTTATCGGTCTAACTATGGATGATAATGATCTAATTAATGTTTATCATTTAATCAAACAAAAAATGTCTTTTAATCAATCGAATATTTATAACGAAAAGTTAATTTATGATTCATCAAAAATTATTTCTCAAAAAAAAACTTGAATTTAAAAAAATCTCTTCAAATTATTAAAAATAAATTTTTAAATATAATTTACACGAATGAATATATGATTTTACACAATTGATTTTTTTTATTTTGTAACGATTTCGAATTAATAATTTATGTATATGTTGCAAATAATCGTTGACAGAACTATAAATTAATCATTATATCAAATGAAATGATTAGAATCGATCAATGTTTTATTTATATTAAAATATGTTCTTTTTTTAAAGTAATTTATATTCATTTAATAATAATCATTTACAAATTTCGTGAATAAAATCGAATATCTTTCTTTAAAATATAGTCAATAAATTAATTACCTATTATTGATATTGATCAATTTCAAAATATATACATTTACATAAGCCATAGAAATAACTAAACAAATTTTATATAAATCGTAGGAAAATAAACATCTAATTACTTTAAATTTGTTAATAACAGAAAAATGAGAGACTAATTCGTATTGTTTGTAATCATAGAAGATTATATTCTTCATTGAATTATTTATCATTAATTTATATAAATCATTCATTTGAATTTAAAATAAAGAATATTGGTGGATTTGAGAGAATAAGTGCTTGTTGTAGCAATCATCCTTTGTCGAAAAGTTTTATCTCAAGTAAGTTTCAAAACATGATTTATGATCATAATCACCAACCATCATAAAAAAAAACCTCTAGATCTGTCATTGATAGCGAACATTCGTTAATTCATAAGAGACAACAAGACAAATATTATGGAAAACTTTCGATTTTAATTAAGTTTTCATGACGTTTTTTTCAACATACTTATTTATATCTATATACCAACTTTTGAATCAACGTTTTCGTATTAATGAAACATATCGTAAGTAGATGTTTAATTAAGTCAGATGAAAAAAAAAGATCAGTAGTTTACTATCATTAATAAAAAAGAATGACAATGTTTGTAGCTCAATATTAAATAATTGGTTATATTCATATTATAAACCAAGAAGTATACTATCTTAGTTTCAATCTTTATTTCGTCCTCGATGCTTATGTAATTTTGTATATGGTTACGAAGATATGCCATGATAATGCCGCCAATGTTAAGTATTGAAAAATAATTGTATACGGAGAAATATGAGACATACACGGCAGTAAACTATTATTGCTAACATCGTATTCTTTGTTCTGATTGATGATATTTTGTTTTAGAGCAAAAAAAAATGAGTAAATATTGCTTTTTCCGTATTATGACAAAAGCAATTAATGAATGAAAATAACTCACTATTTAGAAAAATCAAGAGAAAAAAACTGTTTACAATCAAAGCAATCATCGGCAGTGATTGGCATTTAGGAATGGACCACTTATAGTAAATAATTCAATGCGTTTATGCGTAACACTTAATATTAAGTTAAAATCATTGATTTAAGCAAATATAACTTAATTTCGAGTTTTTCTTTACTCTAATACGAACTTATTGTTATGTCAGTAGAGACATCTCCTGACATAATATGGTCCTCCCTCTTTATCCCTCTATGATATTAAACAGAGTAATCGACTGATGGAAAAGAGAGAAAGAGAAAAGCACATATTTTGTTGCTGTTTTATTTGTGTAAATCAATTGTTGTGTTTTATATTTGGAAGAAGAATCGAAATAATAATAAAAAAAAACGGGAAAAGGACCTAACACGTATCATGATATTGTTGAGTCTATAGGAAAGAGTAGCTCAGATAGACCTCTAATCGATCCGAACAATAATATCTTTCGTCGTTACATTAGAGAAGAAAAACCTCAACTGAAATATGATTGTTTGAGAGCTTCTATATGTCAACCAATCAGATTTTTACAAGATTTTCTTTTTCACCTGTAATGTAAGGACACATCATATTTTTATTCAGACCAATGTGGGAGTTATCTGGAGTCCTCTTTCATATCACCCGAACAAAACCGTAGTGAGTCGGTATTAGAGTAAAAAAAAAATTGAAATTAAGTTATATTTGCCTAACACAATGGCTTAGATTTAAAATAGTAAGTATTCTATTTTTCATTAAAACTGAATTTAAAAAGTGAATTGTTAAGTAAGAAAGTTTAGCTTAATGCTAAGTTAAATAAAAATGATCGATCACTATATTTGCAATCACTGACAATTAAAATTTTAACTTGTTCGCCGTTGAAAAAAAAAAATTTTTTAAATATTTTCAGATATATTTTTAAATAATCATCAGTATAACCACTGAATAATGCCACTTCAAGTTGGTGACCAAGCACCTGACTTTACTTTATACAATACAGAAAAAAAAGAAGTTTCACTGAAAGATTTAACATCAAAATCAAATGTTGTTCTATTATTTTTTCCATTGGCATTTACTGGCGTATGTACACAAGAATTATGTTCAACTCGAGATGATATTAAAAAATATGAAAAATTAAATGCAACAATTGTTGCTATTTCTGTTGATTCAATGTTTGCATTGGGAAAATTTCGTGAAGAACAAAAACTTCCATTTGATTTATTATCCGATTTTAATAAAGAAGTTTCTCAAAAATATGATTCACTTTATGATCAATTTCCATTATTTGGTCTTAAAGGTGTTACAAAACGAAGTGCTTTTGTTATTGATAAACAAGGCAAAATTAAATATGCTGAAGTACTTGCTGATGCAGGAAAAGTTCCAGATTTTGTTAAAATAAAAGAAACATTAGAACAATGTGGGCAATAAATTATCTTTAATATTATTTAATATTCATCTTTAAAATAAAAAAAAAACAAATAACTAAATATTATTCAAGCACTTTATTTATCTTTTTCTTCACTCTTTTATTAAAATATTATTAAAAATTAAATATTGTCAAATAAAAACAATATCCATCCTGCAGTTTTCTTATTTATATATGTTTGACGAAAATTAAGATATTGATTACCAAAATAAATCTATTCAATTGATTAGAATAAATTAACGTTTATAAAATAATATTTTCAAATTGATAACGAAGGAGATATGAAAATCCACTGTTATTTCTTTTTTTTTTTATTTGATCAATGAGGATTGAAAAGTTTTCATGGCGGTTTATTCTAACTATCGTTATATGCAATTAATGAAATATTTATAGATTATCTTGCTCTTTTAAAATCTGAAACAAAATCATATCAACAAGTTTGATTAAATCATTACAACTTTTATTTAATAATCTAGACATCATTCACTTTAGATATATCAAATAAAATAAAATTTTGAAGTAAAACATTGAGTTTTATCTTAAAGATAATAATCATTTCAATGTATTCGGTTGATTCTGCACTCATTCATGTAGACATTTTTTCATCAAATTTCTTTTGATTTTTCCAATAAATTAATATTTCCCGTCTTGAAGAGTTCGATTGCTAGATGCAAAAATTAATTTTAATATGTCACAGTATATTATGCCAGATGATGTCATACCTTTTCCAGTTCTTCCATAGGATGCATACACTCTATTCGCTTATTGCTTTGATCACACATTAATTGATTTCATCTGACAATGCATAACATTGCTTGTAGGTGAGAACTATAAGTATTTGTTTTTGGTTATTGGTCAAGTTCTCTAACAAATGAGTATGTGTCTAGCACCATCTTTAATGAATAATTAAACTAAAAAATAAATTGAAAAAAGTCGATATGACTGATGTAGGAAGCTTGAGCACGCTCACATCACTTCAGAAGCATACTTTCGATCGAAATCTAACTTTTTCCTCAGAATTTAAAAAATCAATGTATTCACATGTAAAATGAAGAACGGTGATTAGCCGAAAAAACAAGTTTCACAGTTGATCGAAGGGCGAATGGTCAATTTTGTACCGACTATTGTGACATAAGTATATTATCGCATAGAGCTTTGATGTTTTATTAATCTAAGTTTTAAATTGTCATCATTATATTATTATTAATACTCTTCTATGATTAATTGATAAAGAATTTTATTGTCATAATGAAAAAAGACATGAATGACTTTTTTGTCTTACTGATAAAATAAAGCAAAGAAACATATAAGAAGTTAAGATACTTAGTTATATATTTGCTTTAGTAATCTTTGCAAACATAGAATATCGAATGTGCTTGTCATAAACAGATATTTGGATACTGGTCTGCGATAAAATATTCGACTTTTTTTTTGTTTAGATAATAATGAAACAATTATAAAATAATGCCGATTGAAGTAGGTCAACAAGCACCAGATTTTACTTTATATAACACCGAGAAAAAAGAAATTTCTCTTCAAGATTTAACATCAAAATCGAATGTTGTTCTATTATTTTTTCCATTGGCATTTACTGGTGTTTGTACAGAAGAATTATGTTCTACTCGAGATGACATTAGTCAATTTGAAAATTTAAATGCAACTATTATTGCTATTTCAGTTGATTCACTTTTTTCTTTGGGAATATTTCGTCAAGAAAATGAACTTCCATTTGATTTATTATCCGATTTTAATAAAGAAGTTTCTCAAAAATATGATTCACTTTATGATCAATTTCCATTATTTGGTCTTAAAGGTGTTACAAAACGAAGTGCTTTTGTTATTGATAAACAAGGAATAATTCGATATGCTGAAGTACTTGCTGATGCTGGAAAACTTCCAGATTTTGATAAAATAAAACAAACATTAGAAAATTGTGAACAATCATAGAAATTCATTTATGATTTCATCCGAAATCACATGTCTTTCTTTTATGAGTTTTTTCCATTTTTTTTTGTTGTTTTTCTATTTTAAATTAATTCAAAACTTTTTTTAAAATGAATTCCATGTATTATCTAAAGAATTGGGCTTTTTAATTAATTAAAAAGAGTGGCCAAATTTCAGTTGTTATTTTAGAAATTTTTCAAAGGCTTCATGATTAGATAAAGAAAGAAAAAAAATACTAATCTCGCTTAAATACTAACATGTATATTTATTCAACTTTAGTTACTCAAATAACATCGAACAACCCTTGAATCTTCCTTGACTCAAATGGTTTAATATCACTTGTGAATTCAACAAAAACGTAAGAAATGATTTTCTACAAAAGCTATGTGAAGAAGAAAAAAAGTGATATTATCATCTATATTGACAGAAATTAAAATGTTTAATTCTTACCAAGAAAACACAAATAAACAATGTCCACTTCTTTCAAAAAAAGTTGAAAAAAAAAGTACAACGTTGATGTTCACTTCGTCTGATGATCGAACATATTTCTATAAATTTTCGTCTCATTAAACTGAAGAAGGTTTTCGAGTAATTTGCCAATAATGTGATAAACTAGATGAGAGTTAGACAGAACTGATCCTTCGCCCGAAGAAAGCTTCGAGCCTCTCTGTCTCTAACATCAGTCGAGCACCGTTAGTAACAGAAGCACCTCATTAAGTTTGTTTCACGAATAAAATTAGTGTCAAATGTCAAGTTTTATTTGGTCTTTGCATGAGACTAAATTGGGGTTGTCGGATACTTTTTTGAGCATCTGTATGTATTCTATAATAGAAAGTTAATATTATCTATATTAACACCAATAAAGGAGATGTTGGCTTAGTCAATTTTAATAGAAACAATATTTCGAAATGGTATTCAACTGTCGTTGATCAACTCTATTATTGATTTCAACAACAATGATCAATTGAATCTTGTTGTTATTTTCTATAATAATAACAAATTAAATTTACTCACTAGTTAAAAATTTCAAAGATTTAAATGAGAAATGACATTTATGATGGATTTCATGAAAATCAAAGACATTATTAATGATTTTTAGAGCAATAATCGATTAAAACTTATTATTACCCGTGTTATGTTACTATGAACATCACTATTTTGTTGTAAACAAGTTCATAATCTATATTTGCATTTCACCTATTCTGCTTTTTACTTATTAATGTATAACAGCTTGTACAAGCGTAACGCGATGACGAAAAAAGGACAAAAAGTTGAGGGTGACCTAATTGTTCTTTATTTCTCTGCAAATGTATGCTATATTCAAAGAAACGTTCTATGAACGTTTTGTAGCCAACAGTTTGAGGTATTCAACGAAGAAAAAAATTCTTCGAACAGGCTTCTTATTTAGAATAGAAATCGGTTTGATTAACGTAACGCGATGACGATGACTTTTGTAATTATTTTTTTTTCTATGCTTCATTTTGTTATATGTACATCACTGTTAAGACAAGGTATTATTTTTATTCCACCGCTTAGAGTATGCAAATGTTAAATGTTGTGTTTATGAATTCTTCTAACATAAAAAAATCGTAAAAAAAATAAACTAGTTTGACTAATATGTATAGCAATGTCTGTGTAAGGTTGAAAAAACTCAAAATTTCAGTTAACATTTTTTCTCGATGATTTATAGAAAATCAAAATACTGAGATCATTCGATTATTGAGACCATTCCGTATAGAATGATCTCAGTATGTTGAGCTTTTTAATGTACATAAAAGAGGGAAAAAACTTTAAAAGTACATTTTCTTACATAGTTTTTTGAGCTCTATTCAACCATACATAAATCATTGAGAAAAAAATGTTAACTGAAATTTTGAGGTTTTTCGAGTTTACATATATATCATAGAAACGATAGAGAATTTAGATTGGTAATTTAATTTCAATTGAACGCAACCAACTTGTTAGACCAACTCACCTATATTCTTATGGCAACTTGTTAGTAATCAATAAAAAGATACATTATTCACAGCTTGCAGTGATTTTTGAATAATAAATTGTCGTCTGAAAACGTTTTTTGGCATATATGAAAAAACGTAGAAAACAGTAAAAAAACGTCATCGCGTTACGCAACATGATTTTAAAACATAATCTTTTTCGGATAAAAATATGTGCATCAGATAGCCCATGAAAAACTAGCTTTAGATATACACTTTTTGTAAAAAAAGAAGTTGAGATCAAGAGGTGAAAAAACAATACTCATTTTTCGTTACGCGATGACGTTATAAATAGGGTAGTTTAACTTGAGCTCGCTGCAAAAAAGTATAGCACATGGGAAGCTCACTGTTATGGAAAAATATACATCTATTATCATAGTCTTAATTGGGCTTAATCAACTTTGTATATACTAGACTGTTAAGATATACGGGTTAGGTGAACTCATGCTCTAAATAGAGGAACTTTTTTTGTCCATTAGTGGCCTCTCTGTTACCAGTTATCAAATGCAATTTAAAGCACTTATTCACGAAACGAAATAAGTTTCTCTCCATTTTAGACTATGCTCTACAACATGGTAATGATGATTTCTTAAGATACTGATTTTGAACTCCCGGTCATTGAGATGATACGTTACGCGTACAAGCTGATAATTGAAAAGATTTTATTTTATTATTAATTTCCTTACTCATATTAGTAGTATTATAGAATACACGTTTGTTTGTTAATTCATATATTCATACTATTCAAATAAACATAAAAGGTAAATTGATACAGATAGATTAGATTTAAATCATTTAAAACATGTTTTTCAATTAAATATCGTATAATTATAAAAATATTTCTCGATATTGAAGTGTTTGTAAGATAATATTCAACAAACGATTTTTTTAACGATGAGAAAATTTCAGTAGAATTTTAAACACAAGGAAATTTTAAACTTTTTAATGAAAATTCAATATAATTTGGATGAATGAAAAAAGAAAAAAAAATTGAAAACATCTATGATGAAATATAAGCTCTATTTATAATATAAGAAGTTCGTCTGCGATAACGCGGTGATTGAATAATTCTTGGTGGTGAAAGAAGAGTTCCTGATGCTTGAAGAGGAATTTCTATTATTGAATTAGGTCTTCCTCGATTAAATACTTCAGGCATTGGACCTTGATATTTAGCACAAAAATTGGGTACTGTCCAACATACTATACATGAAAGACATTATAAAAATAGAAAAGCAAGACCAAACATTCCAATTAATAAAGCATTTAAAGCCAATTGAATTTCTTGTTCTTTACTTCTTTTAGTTTTATCAGATAAAGTTGGATGTTTTATATAACGTTGAATAACAGTAATTGACGTGAATAAACCAAAAAGACAAAGTATAATAGCTACCCATGTATATGGAAGTAATACATGAAATGAACTATGAGATTTTTCTTTAACAGTAATTAATGTAAAAACTCCAACAACTATTACAAATAAACCAATCCAAATACCTTTTCCAGAATTTGGCCAACTTGATTGTTCAGATTGTTTTATTGCCACTGATAATGTACTTGGATCTGCAGCTGTTATTCCAACTAAACATAAACCACGAAAAATAACTAAACGAGCAATATTTTTGTTCGCATCCAATTTTCTACGATCACGAAGTGAACAAAAAAACACGTATACCATAATAACTAATGTTATTAAAAATCATATTCATCAATAAGATCAAATTATTATCTTACCGAAGTTCAACGACTTGATTATCACCAAGAATGTTTTGCCCTATCTCGACCATTGACTATTTTTTCTTTGATGATAAACGTTTTCAATGAATTGACTTTGTTTACTTCTATTTCCTTTCAATCATTCATGCATAATAAAAATCACACATTCTGATTATTACATTTGTGAGAACATCAAAATAAGTTAACTGATATAAAACATGAAAACAAGCATACAATTGTTTTTTATACTCCATCAAGAAAAAACAAATTTTCAGTGAATGAAAAAGTTCAATTGATGAATATAAAACGAAATTGTTTTTACGTCAAGTATGACCAAATATTATTCATAGGATAATTAATAAAGCAAAATTATTTCGTATCTGATCATTTCGAAAAGATAAACTTTGTAAAAGAAAGAACAAGTTACATTTTAATAATTTGTATCTTTTTTTTGTTTATATTAAATCATGCAATTGTATTTACTTTCATCTTCTTCTTATGAGATCATAAGCCAACTGTCTCTCTATTTGTTAGTGAACATATGTATATATATGAATTAATGTCGTTCGTTGATCTGATTATGAATATAATCATTCGAATTATCCTTGATTCTTTCTAAGTGCTATGCTCTAATAGTCAAATTTCACATCGATTATACCATGCAATGTATAAAAACAAATTATTTTTTTTATCTTCTTTATTTATTTTTACACAGAAAAACTCTTCTAAATATTCACTTTGCTTTTCTGTTCGATAATGATACATGTTGCTCATTCAAAAGTTGAGCTTGACTTATATTTTTAAAAGTTATCTCAATGGTATTTTTTTTTTTTTGTTCATTAAAATATAGTAGATTGGTTAAGTCATTAAATTGAAAAAAACACTTTCATTAATAGGGATTCATTAGTAAGGCAGGTAGAATCTTCGAATTCAAAATCATGATATTGAATTGCATGTAGTCATATATGTTCCAATGGCAAAAAAAAGCATTAGACTCTAGGAAAGATTTGTCAGAAGTTTACTCATGTAGTAGAATTTATTTTGAACTTTCTTTTGTTATAAAGGTTGATTCATTGTTTTTTCTTACACAATTTTGTTTTCATCGAAATTGCCAGAGACAAAGCAAGTTTTAATCGTACAAGTCAGAGGAGAACTCGTCAGAAAATAGCTGTGACTGATTTTCATCTGATATGACTAAGGTAAAATTTAGGTTGTTTTTACGAATTTCTGAAGAAGTTCCATAAGGAATTTCAAGATGTCGGACTTATATTTAACGTCTAAAATAGAAAATAACTAGACTACTCAAAAGCCTAAGAAAGAAGAATAACTGGAATTAAAATGATGAAACATGCGTAAAAATTATTTTATTCTAATTTTATTCATTAAAACATATATTTATGTAAATAAAGTTCCATAATTTTGAATCGAATTTATATTAATTGCATTTAATTGATTAAAATGTCTGTTTTAATCAATAAAATTGAAATCGATAAATATTTATATTCATTTTTATCATTGAATATATCTATATTTTCATATTTTTCGATAAAATATATTCAAGTTATTAATTTGTTTTTCTTTTAAATCTATAGATAAGCCAGTATCTCGAAAATAACGGGTGGCGCATAATGAATGTCCCACTTTTGCATTTCATTTTTCTACAACTTAATACGTTGTATTAAAAAAACAAAATATACCATAAGATGCAGCGTGAAAAGCTCTACAATTTACACACGGCCGCTTTTTCTATAATTACACTTTTTACTTTCAAAGTAGTCAAAATTTAGAGCGATAAAATTTCGACTGTGCGAAATTTGATCGCAGAGAATTTTGCTTTTTTACGAAACAATTACAATAATCTGTCTCGTGTGAAATGTAGAGCTTCTTTCACTGCATCTCGTGATATATTTTGTTCTTTTTTAAAATAAAAGATATCAGATGATAAAAAGCTGAAATAAGAAAAAACCAATCCATCTTATACAAAAAAAATATCGTTTTCGCGTGGTAGAAATTTGATTACTCAGCTGATTTTGGAAGCAAGAAGTGCAACTATAAAAAAGTGGTCTTCTGTAAATTGTAGAGCTTTTCAAGCTGCATCTTGTGGTGTATTTCGTTTCTTTTTAATAAAACACATCAGATGATCAACAAGGAAAAATGGATTTGGTCGTGTATTGAAAAATACCTCTTTCACAGCATCAAAATGTAATCACTGAGAATTTTTGTCAGTTTTGAAAAGAAAAGGTACAACTATAAGAAAAGCTGTCTTGTGTAAATTGTAGAACTTTTCACGTTGCATCTAATGGTATATTTTGTTTTCTTTTTAAATAGAAGATATCAGGCGATAAAAAGATGAAATGAGAAAAAACGAATTCATCTTTTACCAAAAAAAATACCGTTTTCGCACAGTCAAAATTTGATCACTCCAAATTTTGTCGATTTTAAACGCGAAAAGTGCAACTGTAAAAAAAGCTCTCTTGTACAAATTGTAGAGCTTTTCACGCTGCATCTTATGGTATATTTTGTTTTTTTAATACAACGTATTAAGTTGTGGAAAAATGAAATGCAAAAGTGGGACATTCATTATGCGCCACCCGTTATTCATTTTTTTTATTCATATTAAATCAACATATGAATTTTTTAAATGGTAATTATGTTCCATGTCTTTGTAATTTACGAAAACATATATTTTCCTTTGAAACATTCATATCTTTATCAAATTTCAATGAAAAGAAAAATATTTTCGAATATTTGTTAATTCGTAAAGAAACATCCAAATTTCAGTCATATCAGACGAAAGTTTACAAATATTTTCGATCATAGTTCTTTTTTGATCAGTATACATGTAACTATTAATATAACAAAAACCAATAAAAAAAAGCATTTTTCATAAACTGATCGCATACCGATAAATTTCCTGTGTTCTCTTTACAATTAAAAATAACCTTAAATTTTACAATAAGTTTAGATCAGAGATGTCCATCGCGGCTGAAAATCTGCCGCGACGATTTATAAAAAAATGTTGCCGCGACGCTGCCGCACCGCGATGAATTATAAAATAAACATGCTGCTACCGCGCCGCTGCCGCGACGGTTTTCAAAAAAGTGTTTCTAATTTCACTGCTGTGATTATATTTGACCAGAGATATGGGTACTAGTCCATCAGATTTATTCAATATCAGGGCATTTCATTTGTAAATCCTGAAATTCTATTAAATTCATACAGTTTTTCAATGTCCTCCAAAAAAAATCCTGCCGCTGTCGCGATGGTTTTTTAAAAAACCTGCCGCTGTCGCGGTGATTTTTTAAAAAATCTGCCGCTGCCGCGCCGCCACCGCCATTGCGGCAGCGGCAGCGCCGCGATGGACATCTTTGGTTTAGATAAGGAAATACTCGTGCTACAATTCTCTATTCGAATATTATACAATCAACAGTTTTATTCTATAAAAATAGCTTTAGAAAAACAGAATTAAATCTTAAAACATTTTTTTTAAGAAATTGATATGAATAATTAAATCATGATTAAAAAGAATATTTCAAACTTTTTAATTGACATAAATATTAAATTAGACAAATAAAGAAAATTTCTTTTTGTATTCAAAATAAGTCTTGTAATTGAATAATAATAATAAAATTAGGTAACATTCAAAACGGCTTGCATAAGTGGCGCAAAACGTTCTAATGTATCCGTTGATTTGGTTTGTGTAAGAAAAAATTCGCGAAAATATTTTGTAAATGATTGAAGTCTTTCAATTTCAGTTAATATTTGTGTAAATTGTTTTGAAGTTTTCTTTTCACCTTGTTTATGTACTAAATAATTCCAAGTCAATTTTGTATAATGAGATTGAGCTCGATTAACAGCAAGTTCATCATTCAATGTAGGTTCATTTTCACTCATTGATAAACCTTTCGAGAAAAGTAATATGACAAGAAGAAGATTTAGTAGAATTGAATCTTGTTCAGTTACTTTTGAAAAAGAACGGATCAAACTCATAAATTTCTCACGAATGCCACTTGTTCCATAACATAATGCAAAAAATTGACGACGTTTTAAAACATCTTCATTATTTCTATTGACAAATGTTCCAGTTAATGGATTATAATTTAGACATTTTTGTATCATATATAGAGGAAGAAGATTATATTTTATCAATGTAAATCGATCATCATCATTTAGACTTTCGAATTCATCAATTTGCTGAAAAAACTTAATCATTTTCAAAGCTGTTTGACTTGCAAATTGTGACCAGGATATTAAAGCTGAATTACGATCAGATGTATCAAATGAACGACATAAAGAATTATGATTTTGAAATATTGATGAATAACTTGATCTAATACTTTCAATATCCGACCAATCTTCAATCGAAATACTTTGACTTGAGGTTCTTAGCTTTCTATTCAAATCAGTTTTATCATGAGAAACAGGATTGTCATTGTTTGTATCCATTAAAAGCTAAACAAATATTTATATTCATTCATATTGAATATATTCTACTTCATTGAAAAACAATACTGACAAGCTTTATTTAAGACAGTTTTTTGTTTCTTTTAATTATGAACAAGAATGATAGCAATTATCAACAGGGAAACATTAGACTCTATAAATTTTCTTAATTTCTATGAAGTTTTTATGTCTTCAGTCTGTTCAACATTTTAATGTATTAAAATTTACAGTTTCCTTCTTGATGTGGCTTTATATATTTATCTAAGAAAAGCTTTATCCCAAAAATTCTCATCTTAATTCCTACAGTCAATAGATGTTCTAATAAACAATAACTAATATATTTTCATATCTGAGTTTCTTCTTTTTTTTCCAAATTCTATCTAATTTTCAAGCTTGATAATGGACAAATTTCATTCACAGACTTAACTTACACGATCAGTTCCACTAAGCGATGCTGAAACATATGCATTAGTTAATGAAGAAGTCGATTCTGTAGAAGATTGACGTTTATTAAACAGTTGTCGATTTTCTTCAAGACGTTCTCGTCGTTTTTGTTTATCTTCTTCACTCACAATAAAATCTTTTCTCATACCCATAGCAAAACATTTTTCTAATCGACATCGTTGACATTTACGATGGCTATTATGAGATATTGAACATCGGTTTTGTCCTGTTCGACAACGGATTTTTTCCTAGAAAAATTAAATGAAAATATAAAAAATAAAACAATAAAGATGAAAAGTCAAACCAGATTATGTTGAGCATTCCGACGAAAAAATGCTTTACATGAAGCACATGTAAGAACATCATAATTAAAACCAATGGCCTGATCTCCACAAATAAGACAAACAAGATCGTTTTCTTTTTTTAACATTTTTGATCGACTATGTTGAGGAGAATCAAGAACTCGTTTGTACATTTGATCATTTGTTGAATTCTAGATTGAGAATTTTCATCATAAAAAACAATATTTCAAATAAAAAATACAAACAAGTTCGGAAAGTTGAGCAAGAAAAGTAAGGTCAAGTAAACCATTGTTATTCTTGGATATTGGACTCGTTGAATTCTTTCCATCTAAATCGATGACATGAGTGTTTTTTGATGTGTTCAAACATAACTGATGAATAAGATCTTCATTTGAAGTAATAATTATCATTTTTGTCTGATTACTCATCGTCTTTATCGTCGTCTTCTTCAATTAACAACGCGAATATATAGACTGTTACAGGTTCTGTTTTTCGAAATAAGTATAAAATGACGTTATTATTAGATAAGTTAAAAACACGGTCAACTTATGAAAAAAGAAGAAAGAAAAAGATGTACTTTGTTTTATAGAAGTTTCTATGACCAGAAAAAGAAAGGAGAAGAAAAAAACAAAGTCAGTATTCATATTACTATTTGTATCTCAAGGTGATGAAGCATTATCAGCCTGTGTTATAGATAACTATAAGTGAGTCACTTTTTGACACTAACTAACCATAAGACAGACTTCATAGCTACAAAATAGTTGATTTCATATATTTTGTTTACTTTCAAATAGATATGTAACTCACTAGCAAAAGAATTCATACTAAAATTCTTTAGACAATTTTTTAATATTTTTTAATGATATCTACTAAAGATTTTTCTATAGACTAGTTGAATCATCATGCATTTGCAGCATTCTTTGATTAGTATATTCAAGCTTACTTTATGAAAACTGCACTGTTTGACTGTGACACATATTAGTTTGACTGATTGTTAACCTTAAGCAAACTTGTCGTAGCATTTTAAATAAAACAATTAGTTTAATGTAATCATCTGTCGAGATGCTGAGAACCTTTCCAAGAAGAACAATCAGATTGAAAATGATCGAATGTGTATCTAGTGTCTGAACCGATTAGTTATAGACAGTAAACGATCAAGAATAAGCTTTTTTTTTTCACGCAGCAAAGATTGATTGATGTTCTTTTTCTCGAAATGTAATTGTTCTTGTACTAGATAAGTCTTTTCAGCTGGATTCGCCATCTTGAAAAAATATGAGAAGGCTTTAATTCGAGTTTTCTATATATGAACTAAAGATCCTAATTATATTCTTTGTAAACATGTATGTATTAGTATTTATATCAGCTAAACACAAGCATAATTTTAGAAAATAGATTTTCTGAAAAATGTTTTCGCTAGATGATAAAAAACTATAAATGGTAAACTATATACTGTGAATGAGCAATGACTTTAAGACAGAAGAAGTAGAATGTAGACCATCGCATAAAACAAATCTGCCGTGGAACAGAAATTGTAACCGTTTACAAGGACAGTTCTATCAGAGCTAAAGAATATCTGGATGATCTTGAGTCCATGAGAATTAATACTCGAAAAAATTTTCAAATTTAACTTTTTTTATTCTACTACTTATAGATGCTTCCGGAAGTTTCGTTATGAGAAGTTATTCAGATGTGAAAGGTTGCGAGAGTTTAGATTTTGATAACAAAGATGGATAAATCGGATTAACGAAGACGCTACCGGATCTCTCATGACTTCTGATCATAGGGATGTGTGGTCAATTCCACTGTCTGAATTCTGACGAAATCATACGAGACACTAATAGATTTTGCTAGATTCTTATTGGATCATACATAGTTCAATTAAGATACAATTGTCAGAGCAATCATACTGAAAACATACAGTCTATTCTATATATCTTAATTCAGAAATTTCATCATGTCAACAAGTATTAATGGAATATTATGATGTTCGAGAACAAAAAAGTGAAATAATACAAAGACTTGATCCACAATTAATTGTTAATTGTGTTACAGATATAGATGAACTTCGATATTTATTAATAAACCATATTGAAAAAGTTTGTAGAGGCTTTACTTTTATATTACAACATATTTTTATTGAACTATGTGTACGGTTTTGAAGCTGATGAAACAAATGAATTGTTATCTTATGTTGATTTACTTGAAACAATTCTTGCTGAAAAAGAAGACAGTAAATTAGCTGCAACACGCCTTTAAAAAGCTATACGAAATACTTTTCAAGATGGTTCAATGAATACAACATCTATTCCAAAAGAATCACCATCATCAACACCAATTACACTTAAACTGTTACGTAATTTTTCAAGTATATCTAGTTATCAAACTAGAACCACATGTGCTGATGAAAATTGTCTATTTATCGTATTTCTTTTGTGCATATTTTCTTATTTGTCATTTTCATTTTTTTTTTCTGTTTCTTTATTTGTATATGGCTGTTCGATAAAATAATATAAATATAATATCATCATATAGGATTATATGCATACAACATATTTGTTATAGTACGTTAACATGATGTGTTGATAATGGAACAATAAAAGAATATTTAATTAAGCTTTTTTTCGTTCACTAATAAAGAATATTTATATGTATATAATTTGCAAGCTTGATTGTGTAGAATCTTAATTAAATAGAGTTTCAACTGACTATCATAATTGATCCGTTCTATTTAAAACGTTTTTTTTTTCATACATATGCCATTTTTCTCAAATAAATCGTATTCAGAGTAAGTTTCAATATATTTATCATAAAATATTGTTTTAGAAACTACTAGGTGATCTTCTGTTTGTCTATACTTTTTTATTGCTTTAATTGAACTGCATTAGTCAAGATTAACTTCTCGAATTAGTTTATTGATGCTTTACTACAGAGCTTGTATCAGACATGGGTAGCTCCGACTTCGGAGCGATCCGTTAGAACGGTAGAGCTAGAGCGAAGTCGGAGCGAAGCTCTTCGTGAATCAAGTGAAGCTGGAGCGACGTTTTCTTTCTAACTTCAACCATACGCTCATTTTCGCTTTATTATTCTGTGAACAAAGACCGAAGAATTAGTGAAACAAAAGCTCCTCATTGACAATTTATTGCAGTAAATATGCCATTGTTACATTTAAACCAATCACAGTGCTTGAAACAATAACTAACCGTTCATTTAGTCGATTGTTCTACGGCATATTTGACTGCACTATTGTTAGTTTGAAAATTTAAAAAACATGACCTCGATGAAGATAGAATATCCAATGTTATGAAATGTACGGGAAGTAAGCGATACCAGAACAAAAAAAATTCTCATTCAAGTGAAAGTTGAATGAACAAACTTTTTGATATCAAAACAATGATATAGTCGATCGTCATCGTTAACTGGGCAAGATGATGACTTCAATAAATCATCTTCTCTTGTTGTTAAATCGGCTGACTGCACAAAGTGTACTGGCCGACTTATTGCTTTTTACTCGCTTAGTTCTGTCGCAAATTCTTCTTCTTTAAGTCCGCTGACTACATGAAGTGTTGGCATAGCCGACTTATTACTTTTCACTCGCTTAGTTGTCATGGCAAATTCTTCTTCTTCTCAACATATGAGTCACGATGCGAGTCAGCAACTCGTTCTGAGCTCACGACTATCATGTTGAATTGAAAGAAAAAAGGTTGAAGAAATCGTGGGAATGTGACGAGTGCAAATCTGAAATTCATTTTCCGAAATTCGGTGGCGTCCGGGAGATATATTGGGTTGTTACATAAGTTCTGCAGGTTTTGTTGTTAATGAACAAATTTATTTTACGACAAGAATGTACAATATCAATCAACAATACAATCGCCATTATTTTCGAAACTTGGGCCCATCTTGCTACCCTAGTCGTCTCTCCCACAAAGGATCCCCGGTGAGTCCTCAGGGTGTCACCACACTATTCCACAGGGAATCACTGAACTAGAAAAACTTCCCAAGGACTCCCTGGGGATTCCCTATGAAATTGCTGGGAATTCTCCAATTTTCAGAGAGTAGGGAGAAAATTAAAAACTCCCTGGAGAATCCCCATATAGGGACTCTCCAGGGAGTTTTCTTTTTCTGTTTTAGTTCTGTTAAGTACATAAATGTTTCGGATAGATACTAATACACATATTTTTAAATACAGCCATATGATTAGTCGTAGAAACGTCCGGCTGGTACACAAAGAAGAAAGAAGTTGAAGTAAAAGTATTAGACGTTGTTTCAAGCTAGAAAGTAAAATAAAAACACATTTATTTTTAAAGATAATATATAAAATTCACATTTTCTAAGATGTATCATCGAGTATTGTGGTTCCACGAGTATCAGAATTTTCTCCAGTTCCACACATTTCTCCATGGAAGGAAAAATCTCCTACAAATGAACATACTCGTCGAAGAAAAGGACCAGTAGCGTTTCTGCCATCATCATCATCTAATCATCTTTCTCCAGGTATGTTTCCATCAATATATGCTCTTCAAATACTTGAAAAAGGAACTTTATCTTTAATTTTTATTTTTCTAATAGCTGATCGTTTGGTAGATATTGAAGACGCTATTAATAATTTAATAGCATATGTAAATACTCTTCGTGAAGATGTGGCTTCAATTGCTGTCCAATTAAAACCATTATTGAAAAATATCAAAATCATTCATAACGTAAGTATAGATGAAGTCTATACCTTGTCTTACATGTTATCTCAATAAAAAAGACCATATACCTTTTTTTAGCATATGATACAGAAAAGTGTAGCAGAAGTTCTAGCCACATCTTCATCTTTACGAAACTCGACAAGTCAATCACCTTCTAGTTTAAATTCATCAAAAAAAGTTTTGGTATATTTCTCTCGTAGATAGATATCAATACAGTCTGTTTGTTTTTTTTCTTTTTTCAGATTTTTAAAGATACAAATTTAATGCAATAAAAACATGATTTAGCTTCGATCCGGTCACTCCTTCGAAAAAAGACCATGACAATATATACACGTAATGAAATATTATCGAATAAACATTTAGATGAACCAGACGAACGCTATGAAACTGTTATAGGTAACTGTTTTTCTTTCTCGAATAATTATTATTTTGCATTCTTTGTTCTCCTTTAGATGCATTACAAAATGGCTTTGATTTAAACGATGGAACAATTAATGCATTATTTTCGTCATTAAAAGAAGCTCGAAATCAATTAGCCAAGTATGTGAGATATTTGAAAGTCATGAAACAAAAATTAGATAGAAATGTTGCCAATGATGATGATGGTGCACCTGTTCAAGGTGTTCAAATTATAGACGAAGATCAAACTTTTTAACTGAATCATCATAATGAGCTAGAACAGCTACAAAGACAGAACATATTTTTTCTCATGTAGTTTCACTACGTAATTCTGTTGTTTTCACGTTGTTTCTTATAAGATATTGAAAGCTTTTATTTTGTTGAAAATACAGATGAAAATCAACAATGAATAAAAACAAAATTGTTATGAATGTGCATAAATAGGTAGTTCTTCATTGTAAAGAATTGAAATTCAATTACGTCTATAATGACTCATTCTTCACTTTTCAAGCCACTCCCTAAACAATCCTTGAGGATTCCCCGAAAACTCTCTCTGAAATCCCCGGAGAGTTTTAGCAGGAATTTCCCGGGGATTTGACAAGGGAGAATGAGCTAGGGTAGCAATTGCTCAATCAGACATTTGCAGAAACTAGCCGGTTAGGATTCGAAAAAGACGATGAAATTTTGTTGGTTGACAAAAGAACCTGCGGTGCTTAAGTTACAATGCAATAGTTGAGAGATGGTGAAGTATTAGTATGTACGCTCAGCCCGATGACTCATCAAATCAATATCAAATAATGCACTTTGGAGGGCGCCACATGTCTAGACTCATTTTTGGAAGATACTATTAATACAGTACATTCTCGTACTAGGTCTATAAAAAGTGGTGAAGTCCGTTTCTCTAGCCCAAGAACGGTTTTTAAGATATCTGCCTAACAAAATATGGTATCCTATGGTAACGAAATGCACTTACTGAAACTTCGTAAGTAGAGAGAATCGAGTTCTGTGGCACTTTCGAATCAATTCAGCGCATCGACTAATAATGGAAGAGCTCGATTTGACTAAAAAATTGAGAACCTCAAACAAAATTTTTGGCCATGCCGTCTCAATAATAACGTCATTATAAATGATCTGTGTTCGGATTGGTCAGAGTATTTTGATGATTTCATGGCACTGCCTCTTTTTTTTTTAAACTAAATATACAGTTCGATAGAGAAAAATTTTCTCTATCTACTGATACCAATCTTATAACTAGCCCCTTCAAAAAAAAAACACCCAATCATAGAGCATTTGCTATTGTTTCACTTATTTGAGCTGTTTTTTTTCGGCTGAGCGTCCATACTATCTGATAAATTATGTCAAGTCTAACTGTACGTGTGTAACGTTACAGTTAGGCCCCGAACAGACTGAAAAAAATAAAACAAATTAAGCAACGTGATTGGTCTATTTCGATTTAAATCGTCTTTTTGAGACGACTTATTCGTTAATTCCGTTTTAATTCACTTTGAATTAGTCGGTCTGTTCGGGGCCTTAAACTATCTTTATTTTCTGTTTGATCATTAATCGATCTATCGAAAAAAGGAAATGATGATGTCGCTTATTGACAGAAAGAAAAGATTTATTTAAACACGAAAGGACATAGGCAAAAGAATAACTTAAAATGATATGTTTGCAGAAATCGAACAAAGATGTTGCGGAAATGTTTCTTAGGATTTTAGAAAAAGCCCTATTTTTCAGCATGAAACATATAACCGAACAACTTCTAATAGGATTAGTTTATGAGATTCAAGGTTACAGACCATTAGTAACTCAGATGATGCTATCAAAAAGCTGTCAACGACGAATGTTAAACTATTCATGCTTTCATTAATATTTTGATAATTTTATCCTGTTAATTTAGACAAGTAGTGCTCGACAATGCTCAATTCTCTTAGACCCTAGACTGACGGGATAGAGATATGCATATAGATGTAATTAGATGTAAACGTGCGTTAAATACTATTAGATCGGATAGAAATTTCGGACTAATTACTTATTGTTGGATTAATTGAAATCAATAAGAAAATGGACATAACCAGTTTGTTTCTTCGACTCCTCCGTAACCCATCGTATTTTATTAGAATAACTATTGTATACCACCATGACTTCGGCGGTACGTATATTATTTTAAGATATAGATTGTATTATTTTCATTTACATTAATTTCAAGAACAATGACTCAGTCATTATTATTTTGCAAAATAAATTATATTCTTGTTACTTAAATTAATTTCAACAACAGTTGCGACGCGAAACACTATTTTAAGAAGAAAATGATATTCTGTCTTATTTATGTCAATTTCAGTGACAATTTCATTAGTAAGTCTTTTTTTTGATTAGTTCAATTATGATTGTTTTCTTGTTTAGATTAATTGAAAAAGCAGATCCACTAGTCAGTATGTTCATAAAATAAATCATATTCTATCGTCTTTAGAATAATCATAACATCGATTTCATCAGTAAGTATTATATGTGCTTCCCGTTCACAAGGGGTTAATATCATGTACTAGAATGATTATAAATAATGAATGGAAGCGATTTTCAAAATTCTGTTCGAATAAAAATTGCTCACACGTATTAACTTTGGTTTGAAAGCACGTCGAGCTTGATACATCTTGAAAGTCATAAATGTGCTATAAATAAGTCGGAGATTCGATCTAGTTTGACATATGGAGCTAAAACTTTTATGAGGATCATTTTTTAATAAAATGCTAATGAATGTTTAAAAGTAACAAAATATATCTTTTTAATTATAATAAAAATGATTGACTAAATATCTCGTTGATGCGTGTGATCAACAATTTTAATTGGATGCTGAGTTTGATATTATTTTTTACTTAAATTCTATTTCCTTGAAAGTTAAAGTCGTTGTCGATCCTACTTTTCGATTTTATCACTTATATACATATTAAATTTTTTGTATATTATAAAATACTATTTTCGACAAGAGATATATATTTTTTTCTTTTAGAACATTGAAACTTTTTAATAAATTAATTCTTTAATTGGAATGTTTATTAAATCAATAAGACAAATAAAGTTAGTTCATATGTAATAAAGCAAAGATAAGACTATATATATGTGTGTGTGTGTTTATTGACTGATGATAAGAATTGACTCTTCTAACGTTTGAAACACACAAAGAAAAAATGGAGTTTTGTCTGCAACCACCCGATAGTTTTACTATTTGTTTACATGGTCAATCTATTCTTATACACAAACGTGAACAACCTTTGTTCTATATCGGTACATGTCAATCTTCATATAATATGCGTCTTGGTCATTTTTTGATCAAACATGAAATAGAGAAGAAAGTAAGTCTTCAGGTGGAAAGTATTAAAGAAATCAATCCATCTCAAGTCTATGAAATAATATTTACTGATGAAAATAAATTATATAGTCTTCAAATAAAATTTATAATAGATGATAATGGATTAAAAATTGAATTTCCTCAAACATCTATATCGAACTATATTCGATCCGTTATCGAAGGTGAAGAAATACTTGAACGTGCTGTGGATATATTCGATGATAGTGATCAAACAAATTTATGGTTTTCATTAGAAGCATTACCATTTGATCAAGAAATTCTACATGGTTGTGGTCTTCAGTTCGGTAGTAGTGATCTTAGACGAAAAATTTTACCAATATGGGTATCAGAATGGTTTCATGATCAATTATATTCAAATGATGATATAACAGTTCGTCCTTCATCACATACTACTTATCATCCACAACCAATGTTTAACTCATCACGTGGTTATACATTTTGTGCGTATGGATCAGCCTATGCTCAATATGATTTTACCGATGTAAACTTGCATCGTTTTCATTTTGCTGCTATTCCTTATCGATTGGAATTGAGTCTTATTGGTCCTCCTCTAACATCTCGTTTATATATGCCATTGCCAGAATGGTTACATAATGGAATTATTTTAAGTGTACAAGGTGGTACCGATGTAATTGATAAAAAATTACGTACAATGTATGAATGTGATACAAAAATTGCTGGTGTTTGGGCACAAGATTGGTGTGGAAAACGAATAACATCATTTGGTAAACGAGTCTTTTGGAATTGGCAATGGAATGAAAGTTGGTATCCGAATTTGAAAGAAAAAATTATTGAATGGCAACGTAATTATAATGGTTGTCGATTTTTAGCTTATATTAATCCATACATTGCTGTTGATGGTTCGTTGTTTAAAGAAGCCAATGAAAAAGATTTTCTTGTTAAACGAATCGATTCTGAAAATACTGTTTATATGATAGATTTTGGTGAATTTAACGGATCAATTATCGATTTAACTAATCGAAAAGCATTTGAATGGTATAAAAAAGTCATAAGAAGAAATTTAATTGATTTAGGTATATCTGGTTGGATGGCTGATTTTGGTGAATATCTTCCATGTGATGTTCGTGTTCATGCTAATATACCTGGTAGATTGATTCACAATCTTTGGCCATTATTATGGGCACGATGCAATTATGAAGCTATTCGAGATGCTGGAAAACTCGATGAAATTGTTTTTTTCATGCGTAGTGGATATTTAAATGTACAACGCTTTTGTCCATTGTTCTGGACCGGTGATCAATCAGTCGATTTTTCTCATCATGCTGGTCTTTCTGTTGGAATTCGTTCATGTCTTTCATTATCATTAAGTAATGTTCTTAGTGTTCATACAGACATAGGTGGATATTTCTGTCGAACAACTGGACGTACTCGTGAAGTTCTTTTACGTTGGTGTGAAATGGCAACATTCAATATTGTTATGCGTACACATGAAGGTAATCGACCGACTTTAAATATACAATTCGATAATGATAAAATATGTGTTGAATTTTTTGCTCGAATGAGTCGAATTCATGCACATTTAAAACCTTATTCTTGTCAAGTTGTTCAAAAAGCATATGAACAACAACAATCATGTATTATTCCTCATACAGATTTACAATATTTCTTTGGACATGATCTTCTTATAGCACCAGTTGTTGAAAGTGAAGTCAATAAATGGAAAGTATCAATTCCCGATGGAGAATGGATACATATTTGGACAAATAATATCTATAATAAAAATCAATATGAAATAGATGCACCTATTGGTCAACCACCTGTTTTCTATCGATCTACAAGCGAATGGAAATCACTTTTTCAACAATTAAAAGATTTTTAAAAATATTTTACTCAATGTTTCTTATTAAAATCATCTTAATAAATTTCAACATTTTATTCAACGATTAATTTTATACTACTTGAATATAATTCATTTCAATAATTTATTTTCTCTAGAAATCATTCATTAGAATTCCATATATTTCATTATTCATCAAAGATTATACTAATTAGTCACTATCAAACACATATATATATGTATATCTTCTTGACAAATTATGAAAAAGCTCTTTTAAAATTTTAGAAGTGTAAAAAAAATTGATCATAAATAATTCTAATGTTTGTATTTTATTCTTAACTTGATAGGATTATTTCTTTTTTTTTAATAAAAAATGAACGTTTCAAGTTTTGAACAAAAAACAGAATATTTTATTTAACAATATTATTTATTGCTATTATGTGCATTCTATTCATATATTGAACAAATTCATTCCATAAACAATCGTCTAATTTATTTCAATCAAGTAAATAATGTATGTAAGCTCGAAAAACATTCTAGTAACATTTAGTTTGTAAAATAAATTCAGTCTTTTTATTGATGGACAACAGTCAAGATCTTTATGTGATATCAGCAGTATGCACTTTATTTCAACAATCAATTATATTATTAACATCTGTTTCGTATATAGAATAAGCACCATTTTTATCTCTGACCTATTCAGTTATGCTCAACATGTGTCCAGAGAACTGACATATTAAAAGAACTCCTACTGTTGATCACTTTTTTTTTAATCTATAAATTATTTGTTCGCTTTGAAATTCTTCCATCTTAATCACAATAAATTTTTGTCAATTCAATTATGATTTTAGTTGTGTTTGTATGTATTTACTTTGCATCTCTTTTTTTTTTGTTTTTCAATTTTCTCACGTATGATTTTTATTGAGAAGTTTAAGAATTATCTTTTTATTAAAGAAATTATAATTATTCATAGTTTATTCGTTAAAATATAAAAAAATTTCTCTTATGTTCAATGATACTTTATTCAATATTTCATTCGATATATATTGGTGATGTTCAATTTTTATCATCAACAATATTTCAGAATATAATTCTTATGGAATTTTTTCAATTTCATTTCTAATAATTAATAATAATAATAAACATTTGTTTTTTTAATTGATGATGAAAATGATCTAATATATATATATATGAATTGAACTTATGTTTTGCTTTTTAACAATTTTTTCTTTTAAGCAAAAAAAAATTTTCTAATTAAATTTATGTTTGTTTAATAATATTTTTAGTAAAATATATATATAATTGAAATTTTTGAAAAAATAAAAATGAATTCGATTAATATTTTTGATAAATTCATAAAGAACAAAAAAAAAAGAAAGTTTATTTTTGAAAATTCTGTTTTACGTGAATAAATGATACAAAAACAAAACAAAAAAAAGAAAAAGAAAAAAAAGAACGAAGATCATATTTAAAGGTTTGTATTACTATATAACTCACAAATGACAGCTAAGCAGTCAAATAAATTTTCATTTGTGTTTATTTGTTATAGTTAATGTTTTCCGGAAAAGAAAAAAACATTGTCTGTAAAGCAATTATTATATACAGAAGAAAAAAAAAACAGAACGAAATACGACTCCAAATAAATGTACAATCTTAAAAGAAATAAATCTTTTCTTTTATCGTTTTGTTTTAGTTGTTCGTTGTTGATCAGATTTAAATCTTTTATAATCCATATCGGTACTGTTTCGAGAATAATTATCTTGACGATCACGCTTTTTTTTTTTAAACAAAAATAAAATAAAAAAAAAATTTAAAAAAATAAATAAATTACTTGTGATAATGAATAATTATTATAATTTGTTGAAAATAGATTATGATGTGTTGAACCAGTTGGTGAATAAATATTTGTTCGAGATGGATTTTCAATTGTTATTAAACCATAATTAATTAAAGTTGTTATTGATTGTATTATTTCTCTTATATGTGGATCAATAAAACCAAGAGATTGTAATGAATGCTAAATACATATTTTTTTTTTTTTTTTATTTTTATTTTCAATTTTTTTTTTATTTAATTATCTTACAACAAGTGAATCAATACTTAAATGATTTGTTCCACCAGAATTTATTATTATTTGTGATAATCGTTGTAAACCACTTAATTGAAGAGACATATTTGATGATGAATTCATTGGCATTAAACCATTTAATTTTCCATGGATTACATCTTATTAAATTAGAATTTAGTTAAATAGAAATATTTTCATATCTATCTTAATGAAAATAAAATCTAACTATATTATTCAATGAAATTAGAATTTGAAAATCTCGATAATCAATACTATCAAATAAACTTTATAAATTTAATCTATAGTAAAATATGTATTATTCTATATTATGTAAAAAAATTATAAATCTAACTATTTATCTAATAATATATTAAATGAAATAAAAAATAGAAACATACGATCATGAAATGGTTGAATATCATTTATAATTGATGGTGGATTAATTGATGGAAGTTTTTCATTTGAATAATTAACACTTGGTATACTATCATGATGAGGATCTTCTAATAATTTTTCTAAAACAATTTCTAATGCTTTTGTTCGAATATCATCTTCACCTTAATAATAAGAATAAATATTATATTATAAATAAAGAATGAAAAAAATAAATAATACCAGTTATAGTCATAACTCTTTCAGACATATCAGATTTTGGTGTTATTGTAAGTGATGCATTTGTATCTTGTTTTATATTTTCAATAGTTGAACCACCTTTTCCAATAATAACTCCAGCTGTTGCATTTGGAATAATTAATTTAATTTGACGTGAACGTATAAGATCACCTGGAAATGTTTCTTTTATTTTATCTGATAAAAATTCATAAACAGATAAAACATTTACAATTGTTCCAACAACAAGACAAACACGTTCTTGTGTTCCAGGAAAATAATCCTTTTTTAATTTTGAAAATTTTTTATTTTTATTTTTTAAAAAAAAAGAAGAAAAACTTACTCCTGCTTTTGACATTTTCATTTTAGTATTTGTTTCTTTTTGTAAAGAAGCTATTCTTTCACCACCTTTTCCAATAACACTTCCTGTTGTTGTTCCAGGTAAAAGAAATTTAATATGAACGATATTTTCATTTGAATCATTTAATTGATTAGTTGATGGATCTCTATCATCATAATCTTGTCGATTATGATTTTGATGACGATTATTACGAGATGAACTTGATGATGATGACATTTTAACAATTTACACTTTACTCAATATTATAAATAAATAATAACTTTTTTTTTATAATGGTTATTTTATTGGTTTTATATGGTGACATCATACAACGGTTGTTTAACAATGAACACCTCTACCAACATATTTTATTTACATATATAGAGGACGCTACATATCGAACTATTTTTATCATATACACCTTTAAAAGAACAAATGAATATTGTCATTTTAGAAGAAAAAAATTCTTTTATCTGATTAGTTTTTTTGTTATTAATTCTATAAGCAAATTTAGAAATAATTTACTTTATTATCTATATTATTCTTGTTCGTTTATCTCAAATGTTCAAATAAATAAATGACAACTTTTTAAAGAATTTGCTTATTTGAATATGGAAATTTCAGTTTTTAACTTCTAAATCTAATAGAAAGATAGTAATGAATAAAACTGATGAGATAAGAAACAGAAATTAACGAACTCAATCAAAATTTTAATATAATAGGAAAATTATTAATAATATCTAATATATAATTGATTTGAATTCAACTAATCTTTAGAATTTTGACTAGAATAAATTTTCTTTATGCTTATTTATCGTTTATAAATATATAATATATTACTCTTTTATCTGAAAATTAATATGAAACATCATCAACTTTCAGAATTTTTATATAAAATGTTTCAATATATTTTCGAATAATGTCAGTACTCTTCCAGCTTCTCTCTCTCTCTTTCTCTTTTGTTTAAATGATAACTCAAATTGTTTGTTAGTAAGATATCATTAATATTCAATATGATATTATTTATTATTGAATTAGATAAAAATTTTCAAAAACAAAAAAAAAAAATCACTTGTAATTATTTTCTTCATAATAATCTTCATTTTTTTGGTTTTTAAAGAAATTCGAAAGAAAAACAAAATCTACATAGGGTAGTCAAAAATTTCTGCAAACAGCTGTCTAAAGTTTCATCCTAATTGGTTTTATTCCTCATGTTGGCCAATTATAGTAATGACATCTCTTATGTATTAAAATACCAATACGAAGTTTCACAACTGTCTATTATGACAAATTATCAACGAATTTTTTGAACACCTCTGTTTTCAGATTGAAAAACAGTGCATACGCTCATATATAAAAAATGGTTTATTATTAGGTTTAACAGCTATACAAATTAATGATGAATTAACTATTGCTTATGGACAGGATGCTGTTTCATATCGTATAGTTACTCGATGGATTGAACGGGTTTTCGAACGAGCGAGAATCCTCGAAGTGGTCGTCCGTTATTCGCCATCACTCAACAAAATATTAATGCAGTTAACGATTTGGTGAATGATGATCCACATATTAGTATTGATTATATTGCTACTACCTCAGCCACATTTATTACATATATTATCGTGATGAATGTTTAAAAAGAGTTAGTCAAAAATTTACACAAAAAAAAATCATGCATCTTGACAATGCAAACATCCGTATGTAGAACATTAATCTTGATCTTAATCATATTCAAGAAGGAAAACTAAAGTTATAGCTTGCAGAACTTTTTGACTACCCAATGTATTTTCTGGTTGAATTATCAAATCGTGCTTTAAAACTGATTTTTTGTTATGATAAACTTCAACATAGGAGTTTGTAAATCATAAATAAATAAATAAATAATAGTAGAACAATGTTTATTGTCTATATTATAATTGATATGTTTTAAGAAAATAACCTCGATTAATGTACTTATCTTTCTATTTCGTAAGAAAAAAAAAACGTAATAAGATTATATTCTTCAAATTGATAACAATCTCAATCCGTGTAATCTATATATATATATCAACTTCTGTGGATATATTCGTCTATATATATATATATAATTGAGAAGTTCTTTTCTTAGGAACATTTGACATATCAATACAAATATAGAAAAAAAAACGACGAAGAAAATATTGATTGATGAGGCAAATTCATAATTATAATTATCTATAGTCGACATTCTTTATTGTTTGTTTCACATGATATTATTTGATAAAACAATTTTAGAAGAAAATCATTTATCTTTTTATATTTACAAATATATTATTTTGCCTATTTTAACGATAAATTTTTTTTTTTTCTATGAGAAATATTACAAAGAATTATTATGTTTTTTTAATATTTAATCAAAAACAAAACAAAAATCTTATAAACTGAAATAATTTAAAAAGTTAAATAAATATATTAATAACAATCAAATATTCGTTTGATAAGAAAAAAAAATGAATATATTCATTCATTTAATATCACGATGATATTGTTAATCATTAATAGAATAGAAACATATTTTAAATAAGAAAAACATCATAAGCATTATTAACGTGATTATAAAACAAAGTTATTTTTATTTATATTAAATAAGATAAGATTATTATAGAAATATTTGGGAACAACTATCAACAGTAAATGACATATATATATATATGACATGTTATTTAAGAAGAACGCCTCTCATCATATATTATCTACTATTCTTATATAAACTTACGACTAAATCAACAATCTTTTACTATTAACTATTCTAATATGTTATTTTTAACCTCATATACTCTCTTTTTTGTTTTTAAATATGTATAAATATTTTTTTTATTTAGTTTTTAGATTGTTTAACAATGAACAGAATCATTGAAATTCCCTCGGATTTAATAAAAAATGGTAAAACTTTAACTATTGAAAAATATTCTCAATTATTTATAAATGGTTATCATTTATCACAACCATCAAATTTTGTTCGACATAATCATGGTTTATGTCTTATTGATACTCAACAACAAGATATTAAATCAGGAACATATACTCATCAATTTGAATCAAATAATGATGAGTTTTGTAAGAATTTCTTTTTTCATTTATTCACAAACAAATCAATTAAGATATTAGATTAGAATAAAACAATCTATCTAATAGAAAAAATAACTATTGAATTATTTTAATATATAATATAGAAAAAAATTATTTCTATTTATTAACAGATATCATTTTATTAATAATAAGACATTATTGATAAATTTCTATCATTTTTAAGGAGAACAAAAGCATTATGAATTTTTACAGTTAATTTTTTCTTAGTTGAGAACATTTAACACACACATTTGTTCTTTTGCAGCAGTTTATTTCTAAGATCTAGTTTTCAAGAGTTTTTCTCTTTGAAAAAATAAATATAACGGAAATTTTTTTTTTGCTGCTTACACTATCTCTAAATTGTCATAGAGAATAAATTAAAATTTTTGCTTTCTCTATGATATGTCTGAATGTATTGCATTTGAACCTTACATCGAGATCTGAGGGTGAGAGTTCACAATAAAAAAAGTTCTAATGATTTATTTAAAGGAATTGTTTAAATCAAATAATTCCTATTAAAAGAGATTATTTCAAAGAAAATGAATTTCTTTAAAAATTCGAAAGATCATAACTCTTATGAAAACATCTTATCCTACATTCTTCTTATCTTCTAATAGATTCTCTTGTTATTAATGAGCTAAAAAAAAATCCTGAAAACGACGCATATCATATGCCCTACATATATATATATTGTCGTTAAACGTTGTCAGATGAAATGTTTTATCAGTAAACCTACAAGAAAATGTTTATGTTATTCAAGCACTTGAAAATAAAACCAAAGAAAATTATTTATTTGGAAACAACAGAGAAAATAAACATCGTTAACAGACATTCATCTTAATAATTCATCGATTAGCAAATACGATTAATAAATGAAACTGACCTAGTTATTATATATATATAAATAAGCTTAATGACTTAACACTAATATATATCATATCGACCGATATGTTTGATGCATATTTTATAGGTGACCTTAACCCTATTATCAAAGGTTAAGAAAATTTTCTCTTATGAGGAACTTGATCGATAGATAGTTAGATTAACAGTGATATTCAATTAATATAATATTGTTAGTTGATTTTTATATTCAATGTATATATATATAGATCTGGTCCAATTGATAATTGAATTTCCTGGTGAAATATTGAATACTGGAAAAAGTATTACAATTGAAAAGAATGATTCAAATGAAGACGAACTATCAGGAAATTTGGAAGATCTTTACAATGTTGAAAATTTAAAAAAATCTGAAAGAAAAAAAGATATTATTATAAAAATTCCAAAAAAATATATTCAAAGAGGAAAAACAATTATTATTCAAAAAGATAATATATTTGTTACTAACAGTGATGAATATCATAAAAAAAAATCACATCGTTTAACTAATTATAAATTTGCTAAACAAAATTATCTTCAATTAAAAAGTATAGAAAATATATTTTTATTTTAATATAATATATAATTTATTTTAGATATGATGGAAATGACAATTGAAGTTTCACCAGAACTTTTTGATGATAATCAAAAAATAACATTTCGAAAAGAAAATTCTGATGTTATTTCTGGTAATTTTCCATATCGTCGTCAATCAAAACATGATGTACAAGTCAATATAAAAGATGCTTTAAAAAATAAAAATAAAAATGCAATAGAAGAATTTTTATCAAATAAAATATGGAATCCTGTTTTATCTGATGATGGAAATTTTATTAAATTATCTCTTAATTTTAATAATCAACCAAATATTATTAATCAAGATCAACTTAAAATTATTCTTGATCAACAAAATTTACGTGTAGAAACAAAAGATCAACAAGGTTTTCATATTTATCAACAAATTATTTTACCAGAAAAAACAAAATCAGACCAAACCAAATATCAATTTGATGAAAAACATCATTCTCTTAATATAACACTTCCTATTCATCAAACAGTTTAACTTATTTTATATTCTATTAACTTTTTTCATTGAGATTTCGTCTTATTGACGATTTCTATTATCATTGTATTATTTTTTTTTGCTTCTTTTTTTCTATATTTAATCAATAAATGATTACATTTATACTTTTGAATAAATGGCATATAACTAATTCATTTGATTTTGGAAACGAAAAAGAAAGCTATTTATTCAATATTAATTAAAATAATATTTCACTGATATATATACAGTTTTCATGACTTTTCATCTATTATCTTTATAGTTTACATTCCCATTGAGCTTAAATATCTATGGATTTAATTACCGTTAATTTAAGTTATAATTAAAATTAAAAATTTAATGTCATTTTATTAAACTGTTAAAACTTTCGATATTTAATAGATTATATAGAATATTTTCATCATGATATCGATTGTCTCTCATTTAACTACTATTTCGAAATAGAACTAGAACATATCTTCATTTTCAACTAGATAAGAATGCTAATAAGACTGTCTTGATAAGTTCAATAGTTTTTCTCTAGTTGAAAAGCTTTCGACAATGATTACACACACACATACACAGCGTCTAGCTAGAGTTATGAACAGAAAACTACTTAGAGACAGATTTATTCCCAATTATTGACATCAAACTTCAAACAACAAATTTTAATACGAACGAAGAACATTCGAACTAGTCAATTATAGAAATAAATATAAATATTATTGAATTTCAATCATGATAGTATTCAAAATTGAGTAATGGATTAATTATCTTCGTTTATTTGATATTGTACAGATGAAAAAAAAGAAACAGCGTTTTGGAGATTTTCAAACAATTATTATTATTATCTTTCTGAAGTAAATTAAAAAAGTTATTGTAAATTCTATACTGATATAGAATAGTATTCAATAATGATGTTGATATTCTTGTTTGTATAGTATCTTTTGACAATAACACTAATATTCAAATAAAAACAAATTATAACTTTTTCTATATAGTTGAATCATTTATTTGAGTAAATATTCGAATAGATTTCAACATGATTCAATAAGATATATTTTTTTCTTATGAATTTTAATAGATTAACATAGATAAAGTCATCGGATTCCATTTTTCTACTGTTTGTTGTTTTTTTTCAATTCTATACTATGATACGTGATTTTGTTTCGATATTGATAAAAGTCTTAATTTCATAAGTCGATGAACTTAGATCTATTAGGAAAAATTTTTAAATTCAAGATTTATTTGCAAAATTTTTCGATTAATTTCTTTTATTCATAGTTAAATATAAATAAAATTCATGTAAATATGATAAGATTCTAATTAATCAGTTGTTCTTTTAAACACATGTTATATTAAAATACTTGAGAAAGTTTTTGCTAATTTTTAATTAGTATTACATAATTCTCATCAATAAGTTTAGATAATTGGATATGGAATAATTTCTTAACAATAATTATATCAATAGAAATTCTTCATAATAAATAAATATTCTTACAGTTTTTTTTAATGTTGATTCAAAATCAACATTTCGAAATCAAATTATTCATTGTATTTTAAATGAAAAATTTCTATTAGAATTAATTACTGAGAATAATGATTAACTTATTCAATTTTATTTTTAATATTTCGTTAGAAAGAAAATTTTGTATTATTAGATTAAATTCTCTCAATAATATTGTTATATGTATTTGCAAAGATATTTTTATTATAATAAAAATGACAATAGGAAAAATATTCTTTCATTATTTAGACATTTTATTGTTGTATATATGATAGTAATTTTTCTATTTTAATAATAATAAATATTTAAAAAAAGATTTTCTTTGAATAATTCTTTCAATATAGAATCAATGACATAAAATCTATTGAATAGTCAATGTCATTTATATGCAGAGACCTTATTTATTTCAATTAATCAATTTTTTTTATTTAAAATAAGTAAATAAACCTTCGAAGAGAAAATTCGATGATTAGTTTAATATATATATATGTACATACGCCTTTTTTTTTTGTTTTTTTTTTTAATAAATGAAATTCTCTTGTTAGAAATTTAAACGATAAATTGAAACAAAATTTTCAATTGTATCAATGTCGTTTGAAATTTGAAGTATTTTGTTGTCTTGTATCTTTGTGATTGAATTTGTTTACATAAAAGAAAAGGGCTTGTCATGTATAATTGTTTCGTCGTTTTTTTTTTTTCAGTCGTTTTTTTTTTTTTTACTTGTTTGCGTATATAAGAGCATAAGAAGGACAAGAAAGAACACTTTATTAATAGAGAAAAGAAGCAAAAGAAATAAATAGAAAAGTTTTATTGAACATATCAATGACTGATCCATTGTAAGTTTTATTCTCTTTTGATATATCGGATTTATTTTTTTATTTGTTTAATTATTATAAATAAAGATCATATGATAGTTTATATGATCCACATTTACAAACATATTTTCAAAATAAAAATATTCGAAAACATCTTCGAAAAGTTGGATTAGTATGTTTTTTTCTATATTTGCTTATCGTATTGAAAAATAATTATTTTATTAGATAAATCGATATAATGAAATAATACCTGATAAACAATATAAAGCATTGATTAGTGAACGTTCTAGACAAGAACATATTCGAGCTTTATTATCACATGGAGTTGTTCAACGGTTAGTGAGGTTTTTGTTTTATGTTTTAATTAAAAATTAATTTCATTTAATTGATTTAGTGTTATGGAAATCGAAAAATTTCGACAAGCAAATATTCGTAATCAATTTGAAACAACTGCAAAACGAATGATTGTCGAAAATATTAAAGTTTGTTTTAAATCAAAAATAAATTAAAATATTTTAATTATCAATTTAGGAATCAAGACAACAATATAAACAATTATCATCAAACGAACCTTTTTTATTTAATCGACCTAAAACAAGTCATTCAAATGTTAATTATCAACAACAACAAGTTACATTTATTATTTATTGTTTTAATTAGAAATTAAAAGACAAGAAAAAAAAAAGATTTTTTTTTGGTTTCTTTAGATAAAAATAATTGATGATAATAAAGAATGTCGATCACGTGTATCATCTATTCATCCATCACGTTCATCAACAAAAACAATTCTTTCAACAAGAAATAAAAGTTCAAAAGTATATTTTATTATTTTTAATATATATATATATTGAAATTAAATCAAAAAATTTTAGTCAATTAAATCAAATATAAATGTAAAAGATGATTGTAAAATAACAATGATTTATATTGGACCACAAACAAATATTGATTATGATCAAACATTATTTCAACCAAATGGTTATGAAATTATTGTTATGCAACAACATTGTGGTGGACAAAATGTTATTCTATTTAAAAATTATCTTCAACCCAACGGTTTATCATTAGTTTTGAAAAAAAAACAAATTTTTATTTTTTTGTATTTTAGAAATGTTTACATTTCGATCTCGACGTCATCCCGAATATCCATTTGCATTAAGTTTATATGTAAATGGTCTTATTGATTGTCGAATATCAGTTTGTTGTGAATATAAACATAAAATAGGTGTACCATTAACTGGAAAACGAGCTTCTTTTGCTATTTATCAAGTTCAAGGTGGACAACCTTGTCAAACGTTTGTTTTGTTTTGGTTTGTTTTTAAATAAATATTTATTTCCTTTAATTAAATAGATGTCGATTTAATGAATATATAAATAATTCTCCATTATCAAATCGAAAAACATTTGATAAAAGTTCGGTAAGAATTTATATTATTTAAATATTTAATTGAATTTAATTTTTATTGTTATTAAGATTTCTACTGATAAATCACAAAAACAAATATCTAATGATTTCAATCCACATCATTTATTATGTACACCAACTCTATCTAGTATTTCATATATATTTTATATCGAATATTATCATTATGAATTTCCTTTTTTTCTATTATATTAGATGAACATGAAAATGAAACAATTATTTCCAATGATAATGGTCAGTAGAATATATTTCAAACAATCTATTAGTTTGAGTTTTCTAACTTGAACAAAAAAAAAAAGAGAAAAATTTATAATATAATATATTTAGTTTTAGTTTTGAAGATTTCATTTCGAACATGAAATGTGAGAAAAATATATTTTAACAATCGAATATGTTCGAAACCAAAGAGATTAACTACGTATTATCACTTTTGGTTTTTATTCATATATATATATAGACTTCGGAAGTACACAATAGGATATTTATTTGTTGTTTTTTTTTTATTATTCTAAAAAATATATAAAGATCGATGATAGAATAGGACTTAATTGAATAATATTTCTAAATAAAATTCAATTGATTTATATATATGAATAAATTTATTGACTATTCATAGAAAGATTTATAGGTTTTCATGTTAACTTCTATGGTATGAATAATCAGTTAAAAAAAAAATTTTTTTTCTTAACTTTTGAAATTTTCAAAAAAAAACTCACTTAATCTGTTCGGATAATCAAAAAAAAATCTTATTCTTCAAATGAAAATATATTCCAACTAGTCATATATATAAAATAATAATGATTTATTGAATAACCAGTTTAATTAATCTGAGATGTTTTTATATTGTATTAATATTAAATTTGCTGCTTTAATTAAGAATCTAATCAATAATCATAAGTAACTAATTGTTGATAGAAAAGTTGATTCTATTCAATATGAAATGGAAGAAAAAAACGAAAAAAAAACTTCAATCAATTAAATATCTTAAACAAAAAAAAAAATTTTTCTTTTTTATAAATATTATAAAAGAAAATGATTTATTTTTAATTTGTGTATAGATGAATATCGTCAAGCTGAAGAAATGTATAAAAATTTAATTAAAAAAGTTGATAAAAATTTAAATTGGGAAGAATATAGTCGTTTACAATGGCAATTAGCTAATATATGTAAAGAAGGACTTGGAGATTATGAAAAAAGTCTTGATCATTATATAAAATGTTTGAAAGTCTTATCTGAACATTTATTACCATTAGATATAAAACTTCGAAATATATATTTAAGTATTGGACATGTTATTCTTTTACAAGATAATAATATAAATAATTCAGCAATTGAATATTTTCAACATGTACTTGATATTGATTGTTCAATAAATAATATATCAGAATATAATCTTATTAATGATCATTATTATCTTGGATTATTATATCAAAATAATGATAATTATACAGAAGCATTATTTCATTTTAAACAATCTCTTAAATTTTTTTTATTAAATAAATCAAAAAAATTTAATTATTCAAATATAAATGATAACTATTATTTAATTAATCAAACAATTTATGATAAAAAAGCTCTTTATTCATTATCAATAAATAATTTACCAAATTTATCAGATATACATTTTAATTTAGCAACAACATATCAAAATCTTCAACAAAAAACTTATGCATTAAAACATGCACAAAAAGCTCTTCAATTATCAAAACATGATCAAAATAAATTTAAAAATTATCAATTTTATTTTAAAAAACTTCAACAAATTTAATTGAATTTACACAAACTTTTTTTTTTTATCGATTTATTAATATACTTTTTTTTGTTTTTACATTCTTAACAAGATTTAATCTTTAACTCGCTTTTTTGTTCTTTTTTTTTATAATAACATGTCGATTTATATATTGACCAAAAATAAACATTTTATTCATCTTATATATATATATATCCAAGCAGCGGCGGCGTGACCGGGGGGTTGGGGGAGGGTACCCCCCTCCTGCTTTTGGAGAATATGAGTGATATTTTCTCCCATTTCGGACTTTGCTTTCTCCCATTTTTGAGAAGTACTTTCTCTCATTTTGGGCTATAGTTTCTGCGACTTTCGGCTCGAAAACTAGCTGCTGAGGTACAAAAGTCTCCTAAAAATCCAACTGAAGACCTTTTTTTTTTTGCACTTCAGTTTTGAGTTTTTGGAAAATTTGGGTACCCTGTACAGAAAATTTTCCGAAAAGCATGGACACTGGAGATAAGAAAAATTTCTTTTTTTGACTTTTCTCCCGTTTTCACATTACCCTCCCCCCCTCTGCTTGGACCTCTTCGCGCCGCCACTGTATCCAAGTATTCAGATCAATTTATTATTTGTTTACGATTGATACTCGAGCTAAAATAAAAATTTTATTTATAATCAATCATTTGCAAATCATCGCATTATTTATACTAATATATATATAAGAACACTATGAAATTTTCTTTAATACTTACCATATTATTATACAGATAATAACATTCTATTTATACCCTTTTTAATAAATTTCCATGTTTGTTTTTTTTTTTTATTCGATTTCTATTTTCTTTTTGTTTATTTGTTTCATCAATTTGGAGAATTTTTAGAAATTTGATCGATTAAATATTTGACATATATTGATATATTATTTTATGGAGAGATATTTACTAAGAAAAGTCATCTTTTACTATTTGACAGGATCATCACAGGTAGAAAATCAAAGTTTTACTGATGAACGTTGTGAAAACTTCGAAAATCTGCTCTTTTATAATTGACAGGGGGGCATAATTGACGTTGAAATACGTGACAAGTCTAATAGTTTTACAGTTTAGATTATGTTCAATATTTTCATCGAAGATCATATCTAACAAAGGAATTAAAGAATATTGAACTTTTAAGAACAAATATTAGCCATTGTCAATGAAAATCATAAATTTATTTAAAAATTTTGATAAATAACATTTTTCATTATCCCTATTTAACTAAAGACAATAAAATCGAACTTTACAATATAAACAATACCAGTTTAAATATTAATATAACAACAATAGAGAAACAATTATTATAATAAAGATAACAACCACAGACAAATATAATTATACATAAATAAATGTAAACAGTTAGAAAAATTTAAACAATATTTTTTTCATCAATCATTCTTATACTATTTCATTTATTTATTTATTCATATATATGTATATTTATGTGCAATATTTAATTAGAATTCTCTTTAGACCGTCTGATTTGAACTTCTAGCTCTATAAATGCCTAACGAATAGCAATATCTTACTGACAAAGGAGAACAGAATTAATAACTTATTTTAGATAATAAAACTCCCTGAAACAATATATTAATTTTGACTTAAATTTGTAAAATATTCTAGCAATTATGAGATCTATCTTTGAACAAATTTTCACTTGGAAATCTTGTTATTCTGATTACTGTCAATATCTTATCTAAACATTTGAAACTTCCAATAAAACAGATCATTACTTTGCATGAATCAGGTATTAAATCTGAATTTGTTTAGGGTTACATTGACTTCTAATTATGATTGAAATATGAGTTTGATTCAGTATCAAATTATTGAAGATCTTTCCTAGTAAGACTAATCGGACATATGAAAAACTAAACTAACCTTTTCGAGCCGATCCAATTTTCATAGAAAGTAACGTGTGACTTCGAATAGATGGTCGCACTTCGCATCGAATATTTTAATCTCTAAATACGTTTTATTAGAAAACAACATATACCACAAGATGCAGCGTAAAAAGCTCTACAATCTAGACAGTAAAGCTTATTCCAATTGTGTACTTTTTGTTTTCAAAAAAAAGAGCAAAACTTTGTGCGACCAATTTTTAAGATTGCAAAAATTGATCGTGTAGAATTTTACTTTTTTTGAAAACAAAAAGTACACAATTAAAAAAAGCTTTACTATAAAGATTGTAACGCTTTTCACTCTGCATCTTATGGCATATGCTGCTTTTTTAATAAAACGTCTGTAGAGATTAGAATATGAAATGCCAAGTACGACCATTTATTCTGAGTCACCTGTTGACTTTAAAATATAGTGTGGCTCACTGGTGAGTCACATCGACTCGAACGGGTTAATTGTACAAAGGATTGTTAACTAGAAACAATAATAATGACAATCATCCTCATATAAAAAAAAACATGTTTCTTTTTCTTATTTAAAATCATAGCAAAATAACCTATTAGATGTGTAGAAGAAAAATAACAACGAATGAGTAAAAAGTTTTCGTCCTAATTTCAAATGTATTGAGAACTTTTGTAAAAACATCTAGATTAAAAATGAATATTTCTTCATATTAAAAAAAAATGATTTGACGACAATGAGAAATTTATCTAGTTAATCTATAAAAATTCATACGAAATCCATAATTTTCCTTTAAAATGATAACTATACTTTGTGATAGTCTTATATATTCTTACTTTATTATTTATTCCTATCGGTTTTATATCAAAGCTTTATTATATGTAAGGACTTTTATATAGTGTGTATAGTGTGAGAAATGAATGTTTAGATAGAATACAGTTCGAATATAATTTAATTAGATCATTTTCGAATAATCATCTATCAATAAAATAAAATATGTAGAAATCTTGATGAATTTTGATTGTTTCAATGATTATCAAGATTATTAATATAGAATTTAAATTGAAAATCAGTTAAGAAAAAAAATAATGAGTTGAATGTTGTTTTCTTGTCTGATTCTAGTAAATATTTAAGAATTTTTAAAATTGATTAAAATAAAAATTCTATTTTGTATATAAATATGAATTAAAATAATGTAATAGACATTAAAATGAAGATAATATTTTATTGAATATGATGTGTTTATGTTTTATTTGAGTCAATTATGTATACTAATGATTATTGCAATGAGACTGTTTAATATAATGAATAAATACTCTATATTAACAAAAAATTATATTTATTTTATCTAGAGAAGTTTTTTTTTTTTTCCTAATAATATTTGTCAAATGATTGACTTGACCTGTTTCTTATGCAAAAAAAAAGAAAAAACAAGATATGTAATGATAAGTTAAATAACTGTATTTATTGATCTTGTCAATAATTATAAATATGATTCACATGATATGCTTGATTGATCATGTAAAACGCATTCATTTAGAACAAAAATTTCTTGTCATTTTCTATATAAATTGTATAGATAAAAAAAAGAAAACATCATTTGATACAAATATACAATTGAGATGAAACGTTTAGAACGTTTAGGTAGTGTTGCTTTTTTTACAATAACAGCAAGTTTAGTATTCCATTTACTTGGAATGTCATTTAATAGATGGAAAGTTAGTACATGTCGTACATGTGATCCAATGAATCCATTATCATCATGGACAACATCAATACGTGAACGTTGTTATGATGCTGGAGTAGCATCAATTTTTTTAGCTAATGATCCAACATCTCGTGTTTCTTCAAATTCATTTATAACACAAGTTTGTATTCCAAATCAATATTTAATGGTTGAAGATCCAATTGAAGCATTAAATTGTCTTAAAAAAGTTAATAAACAACCTGATTTAATTTGTTTATTTAAATCTCGTGGAGAAAATTGTAAATGCGAGTAAGTTATAAAGAAAACAATTGAAATTTACTATTTTTTTTTTAAATAAATCTTTATAGTTATACACCAAGAACAAAAGGAGTATTGGCTATGGCAATTTTAGCAGCTTTTTCACTTGGAATTTTAGTTTTTTTAACACATTTAGTTACTTTTGTTAAGATAGATTATGTATTACGATGGTTAATTCCAGTTTCATTTGCTCTTTTAATATTTTCAATAACTTGTATTGTCATAGCAATAAGTGTTTCAGGTGGAAAATTAAATGAAGATGTATATCATCTTCGATCTCGTTGGTCTTCTATGGATCATTTTTCTCAAAATGGTATTTATTAAATAGAATTTTTAATTTTCTTTTTAAATATAATATAATTGATTATATTTTAATTATTTTTTAGAAACAGTTAATCAATATTGGGAAACAACATTTAACAATTTAACAAATGCAGAATATAATATTAGAGTTGGATGGTGTTTTGGAATGGAAATAATGGCACTTTATTTTGCTCTTATTTCATTAGTTATATATGCACTTATGTTTTTTGCTAAAACACGACCTGAACAAAGAAAAAAATAAAAACAATAACTTTTTTTTATAAATATATTTATTTATTTATCTATAAGAAAGAAAATAATTATTAAATGAGAAATATTTAATTTTATTCATTTATATTCTACAACATTTAAAACAATTGATCATATCAATTCACCGTTTTTGTTTTTTATTAGAAATCGAATAAAACTCGACGATAAAGTTCAATAGAAGTTAACTTATCATATAAAGATAAAACATATCGAAAAAAAAATAAATCTCAAATTTGTCTACTTTTAAGAGAAACTTCCTCTGACAAGATTACTTCCTAACAAATTGGATTAATCACCTTTTTTTTGTTTTTCTTTGGATTTATTTATTGTAAACAATATCTGTACTATAAATGTCGTCAAATGTGAAATATTAGGTCATTTTGGATTATCTATGAAAAATGTAAGCTAAAACAAATTCAAAGAGTTTATTTATATTCGAAACAAATTATTGAACATGTATGTTCTGTTATTTAACAGTTTCTTCTGAATAGCTTCAATATTTGACCTCGAAAATATATCATTTCATAGGAAATAGTCTTGACTCTTCAATGTTTTTAGTTTAGATAAATAAATGTCGAAAGATAATCTATTGATGATATCTATATTTGGTGAAAAAAAAACGAGCAACTCTAGAATATCTTGTACTACTGACAAACAAAAAACTCCCAAATATTGCCATACGTGATATAGTCATTTTTAGAGTATTTGATATTTTTTAACCTATTGTGTTTTTTTTTTCGCCATCTGAATTAGTCATTTAAACAGAATAAATTTGCATTTATAGTATACCCAATCAAATGAGATGTTTACAAGGTCAAGTGATCAAATAATTCATGAAAAACTGTTCAAATACTAAGCATACATATATTTAGGGATCTTTTATAGTCAAACGAAATTCTTTAAACTTGTTTTAGCTCGGTTTTTTTATTCATAGGTAAAACCAAATGATCTAATATTTTTCATTTGAGATAAATAAAATAAAAAAAAAGAAATTTTCCTCCTGTGATTTATATAAAAGATTTTCATTATCATAATGAACTTTCAATCATGAAGAAGTTTAAATAAAATCATTAAAAAAAAGTTTTTTTTGTTCTTCTTTATATTCTTGTATTTTTGTATAGTTGTCAAAAAAATGTAATGAAATTTATTTTTTATCGAATTATTCATATTGATACATCGTATGATGATCTATTAACAAGAAAAACAAATGTTCTATTCATCATGAAATCCAACTTTAGTTTCGATAGTAAATTAACTGAGTGAGTGTTAATGGAAATCATCGCCATATTGAGAAAATATTTCTCTAGTTCTCTTTTTTTTTTATCATTAATTAATTACAAAAAACAAAAAGGCGAGCTTTTATTAGTTGTAATAGAGTTTAAAAATCCTACTATGAATATGATAGTTGTTCATATTCTAGTCATCATTACTAATATGATTGACACCACATATGAATATAGAAATATTCTATATTTCAACATTGTTATTACACTATATTTTAATAAAATTATTAATAAAAACCAATTTGGTCACATTAACTCTTATCTCTTTTGTACTTTTTTTCTATTTCAATATAATCATTTTAAATTAATCTTATTTATTAATTAACAATAATCGATTTAATATCTCAATTAAATGATCAAATAAATATATTTATCTTTGAAATATATTTGACTTATGTCATCAATTTAGTTATTTTTTGTTTTTTAAAAGATCTTTTCATAATGAACAATATCCAACAAATTATTTTAAATTATATGAAAATTTTTCAGGTTTTATTGAAAAAGAAAACGCCAAGCTCACTCTAATAGTTTTTTTTTGAAATATTTGATCAGAATTTTAAAAAAAACCTATTTCAATCGATATGGGTTATTTTCATTAAACTCATTTAATCTATTAAACAATAATTGATAACTATAGTGAAATATTCACAATTTATTTTAACAGTTAATATATTTTTGTTACAAAAGATAATTTTAAAAAAAATCTGAAATATAAAATAATTAATATTAACATTAGATTATTTTAGTTTTTGTTAATAGTACGAGAAAGAAAATGATTTGATAAATGATTTTTAATAATAGTTCGAAGATAATATGATCATTATATTTTGTCATAAGTATAATAAAATGTTAATTTATTTTAATTGATATATATGTCAAAATTTAAAATATTAATTCATTTTTTATAAAAATGTTTATCTTACGAGGGAACGTTCCCAAGTGATTAAAAGCTTTTGAGCTCATATGTTACCCATTAGGTAGAGGACCACTAGATTAGAGAAACCTCCAAAGGATTCGTGCTTATATTGAGATTTGACAGAGATATCGAATTTTTAATGGATTTTTCCTGCTGGACCCTAGTTCTACAGCAAAAT